TTAATAATCGCTGTTTCCTCACATGTGAAACAGCAATGAAAATATCTGAATTGCAGAGGTCCTGGCAAAAAGCAATGAGACACCGTTAAATCCTTCTCAACTACAAAGCAGGGTACAAAGATGTGATTAATTAAAACATTGTAAATGTGGTTTATTTTATTGGTTTCCTTTTTTGTTTTATTAATGTAACATTATTAACCCCAAAGTAGGGCATCTGTTGGAAGAAGTCAAACAATAACGGAAATGCAAGTTGAAGTTAATTATCATCTCCCTCACACCCTCCCCAGCTCCACTCTCTCCAGGCAGCCTGTCGGGGTTTGGGGCGGATACTGCTGAACCTTGTGTGCCGGTGCAAATACTCATGTGAACGGAGAGAAGCTGTCTGCTGTGGCTGCAGTCCTACCATTCAAGCTCCTCTGCAGCGCGAAGCTTTGCCCTCCAGCTGCTCCCTGACATCCAATCACGCACTATGCTCTGAGCTCAGACACTGTACAAATGCACCTGCCTTTACTCAGGCATTATCCTGAGTTTTTCCTCAAAAGGTTCGGAGAGAAGATGTTGCGAGAGGGAAGAGGGGGCCAGATCCCTTCCACATTGGCAGGCAGGAGGCTCTTGGGGCACAGTCGGAATAAGCATATTCAGAAGCCCCCTGGGAGAATGGATGGGTTTATTGCTGTGGAATTACACTCTGGGGTGTAAAGTCCCATGTCCCTCAGTCCAGTCCTGGAAGAGGGGCAGTTGGGGGTTTAGCAAGGCCAGAAATGAGGCCAGAGTCCAGAGTGTCCGCTCCATGACGCGGCCCGGTCCAGACGAAGATCAGCCCAGATTCAGTCCATTGATCTGCTGCATGGATCCCACAGTGGGGAGCAGACCTGGAGAATTAAATGAGCAAATGTTTCCTTTACTCCTTTCCTGCTCAATAATAACTAGGTCATTGCGCCGATATCAAAAACACCCGCACCCCTTCATTACTTAGTATCAAACCCTCCAAACCTTCTCTAGACAGCACTGTGACCTTCCTGGGGAGTGACCCCTCTGCCAGGCCGCTCCGAGGGCACCTGAACGGTGTGCTGGCATCGTTTCCAATCCTCCTCCCGATACCCTCCCGCCTTCGTTTCTGACACTGTTCTCTGGGCGCTCTCTAAGCACTCATTTCAGAAGGTAGCCACGTACTGCTGTACTGCTGGAGAAATGTTTCCGAAGTCCACAGCAGCCCTGGCCAGGCAGCTCGGTTGGTTAGAGTGTTATCTGGATTCACCAAGGTTGTGGGTTCGATCTCCAGTCAGGGCACATACAAGAATCAGCCAATGAACGCGTAAACACATGGGACAAATCTCTCTCTCGCAATAAAAACATCATAAAATGTAAAACAAACAACACTTCACACTAAAGGGCAATGACAGAGGGCGCACCCCCGGGCTATGGGAACCAGCACACCTGTAGTCACTGGACAAGGGGTGTCTTGGCTCCGGCTGATGTGGCTCAGGCCCTCTCACCTCTGGCTGGATACAGGCGTCTGCCGGGCTCTCTGCCCCGCCCCCTTCCAGTCCACCCTCTTCCTCACTTGCCACGGTGATCTTCAAATCTCATGTCCTTCCTCAGCTCTGCAACTTTCAACGGCTTCCCACTTTGTCTGGAGTAAAGCCCCAACTTTATTTATTTATTTTTTTCCTTATTGATTTTAGAGAGAGAGGACGGGAGAGGGAGAGAGAGGAACATCGATGAGAGAGAATATCCATCGGTCGCCTCCTGCACGCCCCCTCTGGGGATCGGGCCCACAACCTGGGCGTGTGCCGGACCAGGAATCGAACCAGCGACCTCTTGATGCATGAGTGGATGCTCAGCCACTGAGCCACACCGGCCAGCAAAAGCCCCAACTTTTGACCACAGTTCTGTGAAACATCCCTTTCAAGAGAGCATCTGTCTTCAAACCGCAGCCCCACGGAAACCAGGAGGCACCCTCCTCTCCTGCTTTCAGCTCCTTGTAGTGTCCCGGCCGCTCCGCCTCAAAAATGATTCTCCAATTGATCCATTTCTCTCTGCTCGCACCAGAGAATGCTTTCTCTTTCCTCTCCTCCGCCCAAGACTTCAAGGGCTGTTCCTGCCCCTCCCCCAGTCTGTCCTCAGCATGCAGAGGACTGAAGGTCGCCCTGCTGGGCCCAGGGGCGCCGAGCGAGGGCTCAGGCACACGGCTGCTGGCCCTGCCAGGCACCTCGTTCCCGTTTATTGTCCACTTGAGGAGTTCAAAGGCTGTTCCTGCAAAAACGTTATGGACTTGGAATGGTTGAATCTTTCCATACCCGGGATGTTTAGGTCAGTCGCCTGCAGACACACTTGTCATGCTGTCCTGTTTGGAGGAGGGGAATACCTTTGGTATCAGTGGAAGTGGGGGATGCCATTCCCCACTGGCTGCTGAGGGTCAAATCCTTACGATATCTTGAGAAAAAGAATTTTCTAAGACTCGCATGGGAGGATGCGTGATTTTTATTTGGGTAGAATTACATCTCTGGATTTGCAGTCTTATTTCCCATGAACCAGTCCTGGAGGAGGTGCAGCTGGGGATTCAGCAGAGCTAGAAGCAGAGCCAGTGTCCAGTTTCCATCCCGTGGTGGAGCTGGGCCCCTGTAGCATCACACTAGTTGTAGTCCATTAGTCCACTGTGTGGGGTCCACATGGTGTGGGCCATGTGGCGGACCTGGGAGCATGAGAGCCCCCTGCAAGCCAGGAGCACAAACCAAGAGGCAAGGGAGTCCACTGCTTCGTTTAGGAGTTTTAGTATCAAATCTTCTTTGCTTGCAGTGGCCACACTCACACTGGCCAACACCCTGTTCCCAGGTGTGACTGACAGGCAGGCACCTTCCCTAGGTCACTCGGACTTTACTGGACATGCCTATAATATTTGCTCCATCCCTGTTCATTAATATCCAGGTGCATTACAACGGCATCACCATTATAAGTGGGAGAAAGTTTTTCATTTCAGCCCTCAACTATCTGCTTCTTGTGGGGAAAGGGGAAGATGAGCCCCCTAACGGCAGCTGCTGTAGTTGTAGGGGCAGAATCTGGGAGGGGGAGGCTCCTTCAGAATCGCCTGGCCAACCCAGCTTTGGAAAGCAGGGTGTCCTGAGGTGGGTGGAAGGAACCCTGAGTTCCTGCCCAGCCCTTGACTCCTCCAGGAGTGAGAATGAATGACCCCCCGTGGTTGCATTGTGAGCTTGTTCCATCTCCACTTCCTTGAGAGATTTAATAGCTTTTGGAGTAAATGCACCCAAAGGATCCATGAGAAACAATATGGAAAAAGAAAAACACCCAAACGTAATATATTTCTGCTTTTCTGTCTGCTGCCAGGAGGCAAAGGGCAGAGTAGGTAGCTACTCTTCCATTTCTCGTGGTCTCCCTGCGCTTAGACCAGTCTTCACATCAGCGCCCGGGCATGCGGGTGAGCCTTATCCCCGCACCGTGCCCACATGGGGCCTCCGCCATGCCCGCTGGGGGTGGGGCCGTGCACCCGGCACAGGAAGGACAGTGGCGGAGCGGGTGGGCATTGTCCCAGCCCAGTTCCACTCCCAATGAAAGCAGAGGTCCCTTCCCTTCAGGAGACTCAGGATCTGAGACTTCTGTTTTGAACATCGGAATGGTTCAATCCCCTTTTCTCCTTAACCTCTGCCAGATGTTCACTGCATGACCGGCCCACTCCCCAGTGGCTGTATCAGCCACATCACGTTCTGCACACTCGACGCCACAAACACGGAGCCCGGGACTTGGCCGGGCGCGGCTGGATCACAGAGTGCCCCCACCAGGGCCTTCGCCACTGAAGACACCGCTGCGGCCAGACAGCGGTCTGTGCTGCAGTGTGCTGACCGCCAGCGCGGAGGGAGGGCTCAGATGCCAGGACAGCACCCGCTGGAGGGGAGAGGGGTCTGGAGGCAGGAGGAAGCGCTGCGTGGACTCGCCCTCACTGGCCCGGCCTGACCGCCCGCCTCCCTCCCTCCTGGGCCTGTACAGCACGAGCAGAATGGAAATGAAGGACGGCCTGACTACGTCACGAAACATTTTGCAAATCCTTGGACAGCTTGGGACAAGGGAAGAGCAAAACCCTGACGAGGAGTTGGAATAGCTGGGATTGGGTCCCAGCTCTGCCCTTACGGGCTGGGCTTCGCTACAGGTAGAACGGCTACCCTAACACCTGCACCCTAACACCTGCTGAGGCTAGCTCTCAGGGTACCTGTGAGGGCCAAAGTGCCTGCAGGGGGCCTGGCAGGGGGGAGAGAAAGGGAGGGAGGAGGGCAGCCCCTGCAGCAGGCAACCAAGAACTGGAGAGAGAGATGAGCGGGCCAGGCGCCACGCGGAACCTGCCCCAGAAGTGGGGTCTGGAGAAAGCGCATCAGTACCTGGATGGGGATTCCCTGTGTGCAGACTGCTCAGGACTCTGTGGGACAGACAATCTGTCTGCAGAATGGAAGCCGCCATGCACTTGGCCCTTGAAGGTTGTGTCTGGCTGCACCAGCCAGCCCAGCATGCCGCGAGCCTCGGTGGGGCGCCCAGCAGACACCTGTGCCCGGCCCAGCCAGCACGGCCGCGCCCTGCTCTGAGGGCCCCTCGGCGCAGGGTCCTGCGTGTGCCCAGGCCCCGGCACGGAGCAGGTGCTGAGCAAATATCTAGATGAGGGGCCCGGTGGGGTCTCAAAAGGACTGGGCCCTGGTCAAGACTGGAAAACAACACAGACATCTGTTTAGAATGGGCTAGGATGGAGTTTGAGAGCAAGGCAATGACCCTTCTTAGAAGTCTGACCCTATTTTATAAATTTGAAAACTACCGTTTGGGGGCCAATTCCCTCAAATAAGAGTCAACCATAAATAATTAATAAAAGTTTTATTAAATCATTTAGACTTGAAAGAAGTCACAATAGTTAACACACTTAAGTGCGTTCTATATACCACCAACCCAAATGGATTGAGTTCAGAATTTTTATAAATAAAAAATAAACATATTTACAATGGAAAATAAGAACATGTTAGCAAGTTAAATGATTAAACCGTTATCTATAATCAGTCATGGGAAAGTATCAACCTACAGAATTACATATAAGACACTTAAGATTGTATTAGGGTTAAAGTCCATAATTAAAGAAGTCAATGGTAACATGTCATTCGTTTCTTACTATGGCCCTTTTCCACCCCCACCAGGACTTCTGACCGACTACGTCACAAGCGTCACCCTCTCCTGCAGGCAAAGCACAGACGCATGCGCCCTCCCTGGAACCAGGAAGAACCTCAGCCTGTGAGGTCACAGAAGCCACCACATAACCGGCTGGGGACGTGACCATCGTCCATCGGTGCCATGCGTCCCCCAGAGCAGGGCAGATTCCTGATTCACCCACCAGGGACAAGAACGGAGTCAGCTTTTTGGAAATCAATTTCAAAATCACCGGTATCTCTAGAAAGCCTATTTTCTAGAACAATCTAGTTACCATCTGCAGGGATTTTCATTAATGTCTACTATAAAAATCTCTATAAATTTTGGGGATGGCTCCCGCCTCCCCAGGCAGAAGACGAAGGCTCTGAAGGCTGGCCGGCCCGTTCTGAGAGAGCAACAAAGACAAGGGCCACGAGGGACGCAGGAGTTTCCTCTTTGAGGACAGCAAACATCAAGAGCTGGCTCTGATTGGGGTATGCCCCCAAATCCAGTTTAAATTTGACTTAGAAAACGTAGTCCCAGTAAACTTGAGCAAAGAACGAAATCCTCAAGTCCACCACTTGGAGTCACAGTCCTGGGCCGCAGACTCTGCACCTGTTGGGGAATGGGCACAGCGGCGCCTAACTGCTGGGCAGAGGGCTGTGGGGGTTGCTGGGCTGTCTGGAATGTTTTGTCCCTGATGAACTCATGGAGCGGGACCTCTGCCTGAGCACCATCTTTCCCGGGAACTCCAAGTCCTCAAACACAGCGTTTTCAATGATGCTCGTAGCTTCAGGCCGGTCCACGGGGGATGGAGAGAGCATGTCTTGAACCATCACATACTGAAAGGCAAAGATTGTCTGGTGATGGAAGGGCAGGCTTAGCCCACCAGGCGGGCCCCTAACTCGGGTCAGCAGCACCCTTCCGTAAACACGCTGTCTGCAAGTCAGTGCCGGGCACGGCTCCTCACTCTGCTGAAGGGCAGGAGCCGCCACAGACACTGTACAGACTAGCGGGCAGGGCGTCCCACACTGTACTACAGACAGGTGACGGCGGGACTTGTCTGCGGTTCAGAGTGTCACTCCTGCTCCAAAGAAACATGGACCATCAGAGGTAACTGCTTGTTATCTGACATATAAGACAGGGTCTTAAATCACATTCTTGATACACAGACATGATGATTTTAAAAACAAATTTACCTTACTGCTGCACGTGAATGTACAATTCTCTCAATACAAAACTTCAATTAAAATATAACCATACCAGCCCAGCCAGTTTGGTCCAGTGGATGGAGCTCCGTCCCATGGACTGAGAGGTCCTGGTTCGATTCCCCGTCAGGGCACATGCCTGCGCTGCTGGCTCGATCCCCAGTAGGGGGCGTGCAGGAGGCGGCTGATCAATGTCTCTCTCTAACACTGATGTTTCTCTCTCTCCCTTCCTCTCTCTCTAAAAAAATCAATAAATCATATTTAAAATAAAATAAAATACAACCATGCCAGAGATCAATACCTGACACCTTTAAGAAAGTTTTCTGAATCACCATTTATGTAACATATTCTTAGGAGCCACCTTGGGAATGGATTCATTATAATAACAAATATATAACAAACTGATTTTTAGTAAATATATTTAATTTCGCTAATGTATCTATTATTATAAAATTCATTTTAATGTGATGCTTCATTATACTTATAATACTGAAAGATAAATTTAGACTTCAATTTGTGATAACAGTCTAATTTACTTCAACTTAATTATTCAAGAAAGTTCAAGATTTATCAATGTATATACATTTTTAAATGTTTGTGGACAAAACATTTTATGAAATAAAAATAAACAAAAGCTGAAGAAAGAAACTTCAGGGGTTTATTATGTATACTTTCACCATGAAAGACCAGCTACATTTTCCTCGCGCTCTTCTGAACCTTTACTGTGGGGTTCTGAGTGGTGTGACTCCCACACACACAATCGGTAGAAATTAGTACCCCTCAAAAGAACCCAGCTTTTAAGATCTCTCCCAAATACACTAAGATAAAGCAATCGTGGCATGATAATAGCAGTGGTTCTGTCCCCGGGAGGGGGAGGGCACAGCAGGAGCCCAGCCTGTGGACGCACCGCTGGGAGCCCAGAGCCGCAGGCCCAGGGAGCGAGCCCAGAGCCGCAGGCCCAGGGAGCCCAGAGCCGCAGGCCGAGGGAGCTCAGAGCCGCAGGCCGAGGGAGCTCAGAGCCGCAGGCCGAGGGAGCTCAGAGCCGCAGGCCGAGGGAGCTCAGAGCCGCAGGCCCAGGGAGCGAGCCCAGAGCCGCAGGCCGAGGGAGCTCAGAGCCGCAGGCCGAGGGAGCTCAGAGCCGCAGGCCCAGGGAGCGAGCCCAGAGCCGCAGGCCCAGGGAGCCCAGAGCCGCAGGCCAGAGGCTCGGCTGAGTCCCAGGCTCGGATTCTCACACGCACTGTGTTAGTGATCAGGTCCCTTTCTTCTCTAGACCTCTGGCTTCCTCATTAGTAAAATGAAGCAACTGATGAATTGACACTAATGACCCTGTAAGTTAGAAATATGATTCTAAAGAAAATAAAAGATGAGATTATACAAACCTCACGAGGATATTTCTGAGTAAACAGTGGTGGAAATCTGAGATTTCTTACATCAGTTAAGACCTAAAAAGAAAGAAAAGTGTTACTTATCTTTAAATCTATTTTGATATGTGGATCTATTTGAACATAAACTAGTCTTTGATACTTTCAAACAGTGGCTACGGAGAAAGGGCGGAGAGCAACCAGGAAGCGCGACAGCTGCTCCCGATGGAAATCTGCACCGCGGGCTCCCGCGCGGAGGGCCCCCGTCGGGGATGGATCTGGAGTCCCCGGTAATCCTGCGCCAGCTGCGCACGAGCCCACCCCTGACCTGCACGGGGGCGGACTGATCTGCACCGAAGTGACTCGGCCGCTCGTGAATACACCGCGTGTCCTGGAGTGGGAGGCTTCTCCTATTCGTTTCTAACATCCTTGCATTTGATAAAAAGAGCGTATTCTTTCCCTTTTTTGTTTTTTTGAGTGAAGAAAACCAAATCAATTATGCTAAATACTGAGCATAAAACTAAGCTTTTTTAAAAGTTCTCTGGGAAATTTTCATACAAATTATTGCTCTCTTTATGTTCCAGTTTCCGTATCTACAAAACAAAGATAACAGGGCCCACCCTACACACCTGCTCTGAGAATTACATGGGTAACTCAGTACCTCGCTTAACACAGGACCAGATACCTCTGGAATGCTGGCAAAACCAGCTTATAGAAATAAACAGTCTTTATATTTCGTAAGAAATAAGGTGAAAGGGGGGAGGCAGAAGACAGTACAGGGATGATGGTGATGGAAGGAGACTGAGAACACACAGTGCAATGTACAGATGATGTGTTACAGAACTGCACACCTGAGACCTATATAATTTTATTAACCACCCCAATAAATGCAATGAAAATTTTAAAAATAATTCTTTTTAAAAAAGGATAAGAAATAAATTGGAGTGTACTTTTAAAAAAAGTAAGAACTAGGCTGGCATTTGTTACTTCTCATTAAGCAGAAACAGAAACTTCACTGGACGAATCTATGCGGCAGGTCCTAGGAGGGAGGCTTCACTTGCTAATAGGTAGGTCACCAAACTAAGTGCAAATAAATGCTTGAGTCTGGGTTCACTGAATTACTTTTTAATTATATGACATTTAAAAAAAAACTTTTACTTTAAAACACAGAATTGAAGAAAGACTCTGGCCATAATTCAGTGGGGGAAATGGAGAGTCATTTCAACAAAAAGCATAAAGAAAAGACTGATAAACTGAACTTCAACATTAAAACCAGATGACCTTGGAAAGACGCAAGGAAGAAAATAAAATGGCAAACCACAGACTGGAAGAAAGTAGTCACAATACATCTACCTGGCAAAGGGCTTGAAAGGTGGTCACGGTCATTAGTCGTCAGAGAAATGCAAACTCCGACGACACGAGACTCCATTGTGCCTGTCCTAGGATGGGTGACGTTGCGAGACTGACACTCAGTGTTGGCAAGGGTGTGAAAGAACCATAACTCTCCCACGCTGATGGAGGGAATGTAAACTGGCACCTTATAAAATTAAACCACTTACCACATCACTTATCGATCCTACCTAGGTAGGTACCCGAGACAAAAGAAAACATGTCTACAAAAGACTTGTTCACAAATATTCACAGTATCTTTATCCATAAATGTTCCTCAGTAGGTAAATGGACATGTGAACTGTGGTATACATACAATAAAATATCACTAATAAAATGAATGAACTGATACACCAAGTCACATGAATTAATCTAAAATCTTTTTGGTGAGTCAAAAAAGGCAGACACAGAAGAGTATGTCTTGAAAGACTCCATTTATATGAAACTTTAAAAACAGAAGTAGATGAACAGTTGCCTGGGGTGGTGGCGGGGTGACTGGGAAAGAGTGAAGGAAACTTCCTCAGGTGACAGAAATGTACTATATGTTGAATGTAGTGGTGCTTACATGGGTATATAAGCTCATCAAAACTCATCAAACTGTACACTTAACATGGGTACACTTTATCTTACATAAATTGTACCTCAACAACATTTACTTTGAAAATACCTTGCTCAGATCATTGAAAGGTCTGTTTACATCCACAGAGAACTCTGGAGAGTCTGGCCACACACAGATCTCCCACCGCCTGTTCACTAGAACAGTGTGAAAGAGGGTGAGATGCACCATGTGTCCACACGAAGAGGCACCGGGGGAAGAGTCACATTTCTGGCAGACAGTGATGGAAGCATAGCAACTACCTGAGCAGGAGAGAGGAAGGTAAGCCAGGCTGCCTACAGGGATAATGCCAATGCACAGGGAGTGGTCTATCTGAAAGTAGGTACACGGATTGATACACCCACATATAAACAGATGAGGTTTATTTTCTGGAGAAACTGAACCAAGAAAGTCCAGACTGAGAGTCACTCAACAGGGGGAAAGGTGTGTGCTGCAGGTGTACATGGAACAGGGGGACAGGTGTGCAGGGAGCAGGAGGAAAGGTGTGTGCTTCAGGTGTGCATGGAGCAGGAGGAAAGGTGTGTGCTTCAGGTGTGCATGGAGCAGGAGGAAAGGTGTGTGCTTCAGGTGTGCATGGAGCAGGAGGAAAGGTGTGTGCTGCAGGTGTGCATGGAACAGGGAGAAAGGGGTGTGCTGCAGGTGTGCAGGGAGCAGGGGGACAGATGTGTGCTGAAGGTGTGCAGGAAGCAGGAGGAAAGGTGTGTGCTGCAGGTGTGCAGGGAGCAGGAGGAAAGGTGTTCATGGAACAGGAGGAAAGGTGTGTGCTGCAGGTGTGCAGGGAGCAGGTGGAAAGGTGTGCAGGGAGCAGGAGAAAAGGGGTGTTCTGCAGGTGTGCAGGGAGCAGGAGGAAAGGTGAACATCTGCTCACATCCTACCATCCACATGCTTTCTCAGACAGGAGCATGACAGCCTCTTCTCTGGAGAAAATGATTCCCCGGGCCAGGTCTGTGGATGGTGGCAAGTGGGGAGTTCACCACCACACCTCAGGACAGGCACTGAACTGCAGCCCTCCCAGTGACGCCCATCCCTGTCTCCATTTTAGAGCCCTATTCCTAAATGTGAATGAACAGGTAAACATTGTCAACATGAGAAAAAAATCATTAAAAACCCCCGAGTTAGCAATTTTGGTAGGCAGGGAATGTGACTACACAGGGGTAGTGGGAGGGAGCCTGTGCTGATGGAACAGTTGTGTGTCCAGACTGCAGCCGTGATCCACAAATCCATACATGAGATAAAACAACACGAGCTCTGTGAGCACCTTGTAGTGTCAAACACCTACTGTTACATACAATGTAACCATGAGGAGAATTGGGGGAGTGTATGCTGAATCTCTCTGCATTATCTTTGCACCTTCCTGTGGCTCTATATTAATAAAAAGAAATAAACCCTGAGGAAAGAAACAATACAGGGAGAAAACACACACACATACACTTGAGATGCTCAGAGATCAGTAAAGACACTACAGCCATGGAAAAAGTAACATGTTGTTAAAAAGGAAAAATCTTGGGACAATAAAAAGTGGATGGTCAAAGTAAAAAAGTAATTAAAAAATCTGGAATAACAACTTAAGGAACTCTTGCAAGAACAGCATAAAAAGACAGAAAGATGAAAAATAAGAGAAAAAAATAATAGGTGCTTATAGGATTAAGTCAGGGGTTCCAGGATAAGAAAACGGAAAAATTGAAGAACTTACCAAAAAATAATACAGACATTTATTAGAACTGAAGGATTCGTGTCTTTCGACTGAAAAGACCCACCAAGTATTAAGCTCAGTAAGTGAGGGAAAAAGATCAACAGAATTTCATAACAGCACTGATAAAGGCGAAGTCCTAAACGCTTCCAGAAAGAAGAGAGGTCAAACACCCCACACGAATAGTAGGCATCAGACCCACATCAGTGTGTCAACAGCAGCCCTGTAAGCTGCAGGGTCAATGCCCTCAGTGTTGTGGGGAAAACTATTTCCTCTCTAGAATTGGCACCCAGCCAATTTATCAGTTATGTGTGAGGATGGAAAAAAAATAAATTTTCACATACTTGAGGACTCTAACCATCTCTCTCTCATAGATTCCTCCTGAAGAATGTACTGCCAAATGTCCTCTAGCAAAATAAGAGAGTGATTCAAGGAGAAGGGGAAACATGGAATCCAGGAAACAAGGGGTCTAGGCCGGCAGAGAAGGGAAGTATGTCCTTGGCTGACAGCTTATAGAAGGTCTGGGGGTCAGAACAGACTGAAGGACAAAGGTTTTCAGAAGAAGACTCCAGAAGGAAAAAAAAACCTATCTATCTATCTATCTATCTATCTATCTATCTATCTATCTATCTATCTATCATCTGCCTGTCTACCTACCCATCCACTTATGTAGATAAATCAGCTACAGTGAGTACAGAGAAGATATTGTTTGATATGTGACAAATTTTGAACATTTGTTAAACATTATAATGAAGGTTCATAGAAAACTAAGCAATTGAGAGAAAACGATTCTGAAAAAAAGGATTGCGTCAGACAGAAAGAGTACATTTGATCTAGCATAGAATAATATTTTCATGGTCAAGAGAAATAATGACTTCATTTAACCAAAACTTTTTTATACAACCACAGGTTTGTTTGTTTTTAACATTTTTTAACTGAAATAAAATTCACCTACAAAGTATATACCTCAGGGGTTTTATTCTAGCACATGCTGCACAAGCATCAGCACTACCATTCTGCAGCACTTCCATCACCCAGAAAGAAACCTCTGAGACCACTAATCTACTGCGTCTCTAGATCTCCTCTTCTGGATGTTTCATATAAATGGATTCATACATTCTTGGCCTTTTGCGTTCAGCTTCTTTCACTTAGCACAGTGTTTTCAAGGTTCATCTGTGCGTAGCATAGACCAGCCTTCCATTCTGTTTCATGGCTGAGTAATATTCCACTATATGGGCACACCACATTTTGTTTTTCCATTCACTAGCTGGATGGATTATTTCTACTTTCTGGCTATTATAAAAATGCCACTATGAACATCTGCGTACACTCTTTTGTGTGAGCATGTTTTTATTTCTCTCGGGTATATACTTATGAAATTGCCGAGTCATATCTAACTCTATGTTTAACTTCTGAGTAATTATCAAATGGTTTCCCATAGCAGCTGTACCATTTTAAATTCCCACTAGCAATGTATGAGGGCTTCAATTTCTCCACCTCCTTGCTAACACTTATTTCTTCTTTTATTATTATACCCATTCTATGTAGTGTGAATTAGTATCTCATTATGGTTTTGATTTCTATTTCCCTAATGAATAATAATGTGCTTAGTGGCCATTTGTAAATCTTCTTTGGAGAAATCTCTAAGTCATTTGCTCATTTTTTAATTGGGTTGCCTGTCTTTCTGTTATCGAACTGTAATAGTTCTCTATATGTCTGGATACTAGAACCCTGACAGATACATGATTCACAAGTATCTGCTCCCACTCTGCAGACCACATGTGGACATTCTTATAGGGTCCTCTGATGCCCTGTCATTCCTGAGCCTTCACAGATGTTGGATCAGTTTAATATCCCTGCCTGGGATGTTCTGAAATTGACTCATTTTGGTAGGTCCTTAGGGTTAGACGATCTGAGTCCTTTGGCTACATGTGAGACCTACATCCTCTTCTACCAGGCCAGCTACCAACAGATAGGTCTAAAATTGACAAAGAAATGGTGATAGCGGCACACATTTCGGACAGCAGCTGAAGAAGTGGGGGCGCTTACGAAGCATGGGAAGAACGTGCGGAGGCGCACTTGTTAGCAGACCTGCAGGACTACCTTCCTTAAAGCCCTGGCCATGCTTCGGAGGAAACATTATTTAGGCCTTTCAGTGTATGAGTGTGTGGCTGCTTGTGCTCCCGAATATTCTCTCAGCCTCCACCCTGGGTCCTGGCTGTGCACTTACTACACACTCACTGAGTACTGGGAACTCTGAGTCACGATGGATTGTGTAACAAGCAACGAAAACAATTCAACCACACGAGTTTTGAAGACTGAGCTTCACGGAAGCAAACTGCCTGCAGCCCTCCCCGTGGAGCTGACCGGTCTCTTCACTTGCAGCCAACTGGTCTGCTGGGTCGCGGAGAACTCACTCCCCTTCCCAAGTTCCTCCTCTGTAAACACGAGAGTGTTTTCTTTTCCACCTTTCTGGGCGGGGAGAACTCACCCGCACTCGCTCCATCTGTGTGCCGAACGGGTACAGCAGCTCGAACAGAATGAGGCCTAGAGAGAAGATGTCCACTTTATGAGAGTAGTTGTTCCCGTGGATCTGAAATCCCACATAAAGAAGAAATGTCAGAAAAACAGTAACAGATATCACAACTGACACTACTGCACTGGTGAGCCCTCAAGTTGACTTAGCCACTTCTTGGTTTGAACATACTTGTAGGAATAAAAATGTCAGCAAAGAGTTAATAACCTCACAGGCCCCTTTGCTCCGACTCACCAGAGCCAGAGCAATTAGCTCGTCAGCATCACAGGACAGCCCAGGGCAGTGGAGATAGGCATCAGGGACACGCCGGGGCTGGGGGCCCAGTGAAAGCTGCTCCCGGGAGGTTTCCGAGCTCTATCTAAGGCACATCTCCCATTTCTACCCTTCTCAGTCCTTGCCCGTTTTTATGAGAAAATCTTCATTACTCCAAACCACTAATCAACTGCAGTTGGCCCTCATTACAGCGCTTAATTACGGACCACTCTGCATTCCCAGTGGTATATTTCATGTGCATATTTCCTATTCAGAACCAGGATGATGTCCTGGGGGGAGGGACTGCTTCTTTTGTATTCCCACCCCCAGCACTGGGATAAGTACAGAGCAGGCCCTCCATAAACACTCATCTGTTAAAGCGAAGGTGAATTATAACCCAGAGACTCTTAAACAAAGCCTCATTCACATTGAAGTGACCTTGGGGGACTCAGAAGAACCCTTTTATTTGTGAAAATGGCTTCAGGCACACAGAAGGTGTCCCCAGGGAACACACCGCACTGGCATGTCCTCTGCAGACAGCACCTGAGGCCTGCCTCCCGCTCAGGCCCCAGCACCTGCCTCCTGCAGACGGATGTCTCAGCCTCGCACCAGAGGCACCCCGTTCTCTTCCTCTCCACCGCCCTCCCCTTCCCTCGCCCCTGGGGCTCAGGAAACTGTCACGGGAAATATGCTCCCCAGCAGAGCTTACAGGTGAGGGGAGAAGACATCCCCATCCGATATCTGGAGAACACAAACTAACACACCAGCAAGAAAGCAATGGGCAATGCTGTTCACTCCCACTCGATGGCCCTAATGAGCCCACAGCCCCGGGGGATGGAATGTGGACAGAGATCTGTGCCCAGGCAGTTCCCGGGGGAGATCTGTGCGCAGGGCAGTTACCTAAGTGATATTTCTAACCGCAAAATTTACAACTAAAATGTCCAAAACAAATGTTGATTAAACTGCTTAACAGAAGAGTACTATGTAGCCAACATGGTTTTTCAAGAACACTTAATAATGTGGGAAATGCTCATATTTTAATATTATTCCCAAGATTTACAGACTAAAATCCCAGTTCTGTTTTCTAAAATAAGGTAGATATAAAAGTGTTATAAGATGTATGTACACACATATACCTTGTGTGTATTACATAAAAGGAAATAACTAACCACTTTAATGTTTTAGAGTTTTAGTAGGTAAGTTTTAGTTTTTCTTTATACGTTCCTATATTTTCCATATTCCCTACATAGAGGAAAGATTAACATATAATGAGGGGGAAAGCATTATTAAAAACATTAAAAAAAAACACATGCAGCCCTGGCCGGTTTGGCTCAGCGGTTAGAGCGTCCGCCTGCGGTCCAGAGAGACCCGGGTTCGGTTCCCGCTAAGGGCATGTACCTCGGTTGCAGCTTGTCCCCGGCCCTGGATGGTCGTGCGGGTGGCAGCCACTCGATGTGTCCCTTTCGCATCGATGTTTCTCTCTCTCTCTCTCTTCCTCTCTCTCCCTCCCACTCTATCTGTACAAAAAATGGAAAAATGTCCTCAGGTGAGGATAAAAAAAAACAAACAAACAACAAATGCAGCTTTCCTGAACACATACAAAGAGATCTTTACCAAACATCTAAAAAATAAGAAATTAAGTACAGAAGTCAAGAGTGCAGAATGAAATATACCCTTCCAGAGTTTAACTTGCTTGTTGATCATTGTGTGATGCTAGAACCTGGCCTGTATTTCCTGGTAATTACAACCAAGAAGAAAGTAAGTGTGGTCTCTGATCTAGAAAGAACCTAAAAGCATAAGAAATTAAGAGCTTTGATAAAAGATATTTTTAAACAATGTCTTAGAACAGCTTGTGCGGCTTGGGTAAGACAATTCACAATCAGTGCATTTTAAGAAACTTTTAAAAGCAACATTGTATAAAGTAACAGCTTCCATATTTGGAATCCTGAAGACTAGTAAGAGATGTATTAAGAGAATTGAGACTGTCCACCTTTAGCTACCTGACTGTCATACACTGCGGTGACCAAGTCTCTACAGCTGCCTTTGACTTTCTAGTATCTGCACAATAACAAACATGGCACCACCTGCCATCCATCTCTGCCTTTCTCAGATGGTGGTCAACACACACACACACCAGCCACATGCCAAAGCAGTCAGCACAGCAGTGTGGGCGTGGCCATGGTCACCTGCCTGTTGTTTATCTTCTCACTGACATTCACATTCACTCATCCGCCAAACATTTATGCTAACCTCTAGGCACTGTTTTAGGTGTTGGGGACAAAACTTAAAGAAAAAAAGACAGGCTAAATCCTTCTTCTGATGGCTTATTATTTTAGGGCAGAAGAGTTACTTTCAAAGAGTTAAAAACGCTATGAAAAGAATAAACAGTATAGCCCTGGCTGGTTTGGCTCAGTGGTTACATCATCAGCCAGGGGACCAAAGGGTGGCGGGTTTGATTCCTGATCAAGGGCAGGTACCTGGGTTGCAGGTTTGATACCCGGCCCTGGTTGGGGTCGTGCGGGAGGCAACCAATGGATGTGTCCCTCTCACGTCAGTGTTTCTCTCTCTCTCTCCCCTCTCCCTTCCACTCCATCTAAAATATTAATGGAAAATGTCTTTGGGTGTGATGGACCCTGCCGGGGTGGGGACGGCCCTGTCTCAAAGGGCTGGCAAGGGCTCCACAGTGAGCCCCTCAGGTGCACCTGCGCCAGACAGAACCCCTACTTCCTTTCCACAATACTTCGCGTATGAAGGTTTATTTCCAGCTTTGAATAATGACGAATTAAAATAAATAGTGCTGTTAAAAAGATTTTAGTATCGCCCTGGCCAGTTCGGCTCAGCGGATGAGCATCGGCCTGCAGTCCACAGAGACCCGGGTTCAGTTCCTGCTAAGGGCACGTGCCTCGGTTGCGGTTTGTCCCCAGCTCTGGTTGGTCGTGCGGATGGCAACCACTCGATGTGTCCCTTCACGTCGATGTTTCTCTCTCTCTCACTCTCTCTCCCTCCCACTCTATCTGAACAAAAAATGGAAAAATGTCGAGGATTTAAAAAATATATATATTTTAGTATCAATTCTGATACATGCCCATATAGAAAATTTGGAAAATAAAAAGTCCAAAATGCTTTTCGTTTATTTATTTATTTATGTTTTTAAATCCTCACCCGAGGACATTTTTCCATTTATTTTCAGACAGAGTGGGAGGTGGGGAAAGAAAGGGAGGGGGCAGAGACATCGATGTGAGAGACACACTGATTGGCTGCCTCCCACATGACCCCGACCAGGGCTGGGGACGGAACCACAACCGAGGTACGTGCCCTTGACCGGAATCGAACCCGTGACTCCTTGCTCTGATGGCTGACGCTCTAACCATTGAGCCAAACCGGCCAGGGCCCAAACACCTTTCAAGCTGCTGCACAGAGGCAGAGATGCCGCTACCTCCTGGCTCTGCCTGCTCTGTGTCACGTGGAGGGACAGCTCCCAGCTCCTTGCTGTCTCGTGCAGCCTTCACTTGTCTGGCTGCAGGGTCCGGCCTCCTCACTCGACTAGATGACAAGGCGGGGCAGTTACGTGGCTGATAGATTTCTTCTACTCAAGTCAGTTTGGATACTTTTGGTTACAAAGGATCAACCATGTATAATAAACTTCTTATAAATTAAAATCTTTGCCACAGCCCTGACCGGTTTGGCTCAGCGGTTAGAGCGCTGGCCTGCAGTCCGGAGAGACCCGGGTTCAGTTCCTGCTAAGGGCACATACCTTGGTTGCAGTTTGTCCCCGGCCCTGGTTGGATCGTGTGGTTGGCAACCACTCGATGTGTCCCTTTCACGTTGATGTTTCTCTCTCTCTCTCTCCCTCCCACTCTATCTGAACAAAATATCAAAAAATGTCCATGGGTGAGGATAAAAAAAAAATCTCTGCCATAGGTATCATTTTTTTCTAACTACAAGAAAAAGTTTATTTAGAAAGTCACAGCCCTCGCCAGTTTGGCTCAGCGGTTAGAGCGTCGGCCTGTGGTCTGAAGAGACCCGGGTTTGGTTCCCGCTAAGGGCACGTATTTCGGTTGCAGTTTGTCCCCAGCCCTGGTTGGTCGTGAGGGTGGCAGCCACTCGATGTGTCCCTTCACATCGATGTTTCTCTCTCTCTCTCCCTCCCACTCTATCTGTACAAAAAATGGAAAAATGTCCTCGGGTGAGGATAAAAAAAAAAAAAAAGAAAGTCACAGAGGTAAAAGAAATGGGCTCAGGAAACAAGTTACAGCGGCAAAGGAAGGGCCCTTGGGGCTCAGTAGAGAAGAAGGTCAAGGTGAGGTAACTGGGGGGTGCGGGCATGCTCCCAGGAGAGGGAACACTCATTTTTTTTTTATTGATTTTAGAGAGAGAGATGAAAACATGGATGAGAGAACGTCGACTGGCCAACTCCTGCAGGCCCCCGGTGGGGACTGGGCCCAAACCTGGGCATGTGCCCTGACCGGGAATCAAACTTCTTGGTGTGTGGGCTGATGCCCAACCGCTGAGCCACACACTTTTCATTTCTAAGTTTATTTGTGGTTTGTCCCTTTTAAGTAGATTTGCTAGAGAGGATTATCTTTTTTATTAAAACTTAAACTCTATCATGATGTTTCAATGTTGTATGAGTTCTCCTTCCTATTGAACATGCTGAATCACTGGGACAGCAATATGTTTACTAATGAAGGCTCTCAAATACATGTATCTCCAAAGAGAATGCTGACTGCTTCCTGTGCATTTCAGTAGTTTTTCATTTCTTTCATTTTCTTAACACTTTGTATGAGCATTTTTATTTTATTATTCACCCAATAGTTACTGAGTAAATTTTCAGCTAGCTAAAACAAACAAAAATCTAAAACCAAAATAAACCATCATCATCTTTTTGTATTGCACTGTGATATAGCAAAACAGTCACAAGTTCTGTGTTCAAATGTACTGATGCTTCTGTGATCTAGAAGTCTGAAATGAAGGTGATACCACTGTAATTAAACTAGTTATTAACTAACAACAGGAAAGGAGCAAAGGGGGAGGCCAGCATTACAAACCTGCCATTGGGCAGCTTCACCAGGAAGCTAGAGATTTACACTCCCCAGGGAGTCACCAGTCTATTCCCTGGGGGAAGGGACTGGACAGGGAGGAGAAAGGACCCAAGCTCAGTAAAGCTGGGGGTGTCCTAGGGAAGATACCTACCTGTCAGTCACACCTAGGAACAGGTCATTGGCCAGAATGGGCGTGGCCACGGCAAGGGCACAAGATTTGGGATATTTAATCTTGTGCTTCTGTCGTTGTACTTGGCTCCATGCTTGCAGGGGTCTCTCGCTCCTGCTCCCCTACGTTCGCCCGCATGGCCCACAGTCCCGTGGACCCCGCACACAATGGACTACGGGTCTGTAACTAGCCTGATGCTGAGCTGGACCTGGCTATGATATGGAATGAAAACTCTGGACTCTGGCTTTGCTTCCAGCTCCACTGAAACCCCGGCTACACTTCCATAACTGGACTTGGGAAATGGGATTTCAGAAACACAGAGACATAACTCCATGCAAATAACACTGTGGATGAAAGGGGGCCACGTACGAAACATGACAAGCGCCGGGGAGGCCTTCGTGGCGGCCTCCCAAACCAGAGACTAAAACATAACCACAAAGGATGGTCTGAAATTAAAACTCTTTAACTAAAAGCAGTTCATGGCAAGTAGTTCATGTCCTAGCCGGCATCTCCTCTAACAAAGGTCAGTCTTTTATCCTCACCCGAGGACATTTTTCCATTTTTTGTACAGATAGAGTGGGAGGGAGAGAGAGAGGAAGGGAGAGAGAGAGAGAAACATCGACGTGAAGGAACACATCGAGTGGCTGCCACCCGCACAACCAACCAGGGCCGGGGACAAAGTGCAACCGAAGTACGTGCCCTTAGCGGGAACCGAACCCGGGTCTCTCCGGACCGCAGGCCGATGCTCCAACCGCTGAGCCAAACCGGCCAGGGCACAAAGGTCAGTCTTTTAACAGAGTTTGTCTATCGTCTTTTTCATCTACAATAACATAGCTTTGGGATGTCAAAGTGATTTTCCTTTTCCCAGACCCCGCAAAGCACAGGCACCGCTCTGCAGAGACCACAATCCCCTCATTGTTACTGAGTTAACTGCTGACTGCTAACTGTCCTGTACCCCCTATGTAAGGGATGTATGTGTCTATCATTGTTCTTTTCATCCAATCCCAGAGGTTTCCTGACTCTGTTTTCTCCCGCCTCCGATTTATCACCAATGGATCTCATGTAACCCACTTACGTCTCCCCTTTTGATTTAATGTATAAAATAAGGTGCAAAACTGCCCTTCTCTGGAGCGTTATCCCAACTGTTGAGCTTTTCGTTCCCCAGCAACTGTCGACAGTTTGGCTCAAATAAGCTCACAACAGTTCTTCACGGGCTGGAATGTCTCTTACACTGACCCAAACAAACACTCATCCTCCGTGTGAGGCTCAGAAAACTTTCTCGAGATACCGTAAGGACCCCACCCCCAGTACCCAGTGAGGAAGAGGATAGCCCAGTTTCCCCGACAACAGAAGTGTTTATTTCAATTTCTTTACGAATAAATGTTCAAATGCCAGCTATAAATAAGGCCTAGTATATTTTTCATCTAGCTTCCCTGCATGGGTAAAAGATCCATTCCAAGGGCAAAATGAGCCCTAACCCGTATGGCTCAGTTGGCTGAGTTGTCCTGTGCACCGAAGGGTTGCAGGTTCGATTCCCAGTCAGGGCACATACCTAGGCTGTGGTTCAATCCCTGGTTGGGGCATGTACAGGAGGCAACCCATCTGATGTTTCTCTCACATTGATGTTTCTCTTACATTGATATTTCTCTCTCTCCTCCCTTCCTCTTAAAAAAAAAATTCAATAAAAACATATTCTCAGGTGAAGATTAAAAAAAAAGTACAAAATGATATTAACTAACAGAGTAGAAAATGTTCAGTGGTATGGTTTAGATGCCTCAGGGCAAACGACTGTTCTGATGCACTACCACAGAGGAATACCCACAATGACCGGAAAATGCCATGAAACATTCCTCCCTTTCCAGCTAGTATCTGTGTGAGGTCAGTTTTCTTCACTGGCTTCACACAAATTACCATATTGCAACAAACTGACACAAAAGCAGACAGAAGAGTCTATGTGTCAGGTGTTAAAAGAGATTTGCTGAAATGTAAACAAATGGCACTCTTCCAACTGACCCGTTTTGTTTAGGAAAATATTTATCATTAAAATATCTTTAGGATGAGATAGATTTAATATTGTTATTAAGTTAATAAAATTCTATAAATGTTTCCATTGTAATGAATCTCTTATATGGAAAAATATTGATAAACAAAATCCCAGGAAGGAAAACTCCTGGGTTCTCAACCATGTTTACAAGTACAAACATGTCCTGGTGTTACTGTCATCAGCGGGCTGCTAAGAGGATGAGAAAGGGGAGCCGGACCCGGGGAGCATGTCAGCTGGGGGCAGGAGCCTGTCTGCTTCACCGGGAAGCTATGGCTCCACACCCCTGGGACCACAGCACTGTCCCTCCAAGGGGTTATCACCCTCCCTCCCCACCTGTCCCCCTCCCATACCAAGCTATGTGTCGGGGAGAAAGGTGGGGGGGACAAGGACACAACCCATAAAGTCAAAATGGTGCCGGGCGGTGCATGACTTAGAAGCCTGTCAGTCTAACTGAGAAAGGGATCATTAGACCCATCAGAAGCCCATAAAATCTTGGGAGGTTAGTCGGTTATTTTGAAAATGCTGCTGGTTAAAACTCCAGGAGAACAGAGCTGCTGTCTCCGTGACCCGCATTTGCCCGCTGGCTCGCGTCCTCCTGCCCGGGAGCACACCACCACGCAGGTACAGTGGCCACCTGGGGCCCCAGGCAGCCTGTGGGGCTCTGAAGGACTAGGAAGCAGAAACTATGGGCACTGGCTTTTTTTTTTAATCCTCACCTGAGGATATTTCTCCATCTATCTTCAGATGGAGTGTGAGGGAGAGCGAGAAACACTGATGTGAAAGAGACACATCGACTGGTTGCCTCCCGCACCACCCGACCAGGGCCAGGGATGAACTGCAACTGAGGTACGTGCCCTTGGCTGGAACTGAACCCGAGACTCATTGGTCTGAGGGCCGATGCTCTAGCCGCTGAGCCAAACCAGCCAGGGCTGGGCCCTGCTGAAGACACAGCTGGACTTTCTCCATGGTGGGACGAGGGAGGTGGGACACTGGGGAGCCAGGAGGGAATTCCTGTGATTTCCCACCGTGAACAAAGCGCCTTGCCACAGCAGTCTCCCGTGGGCCCTGGAGAGGCTCCTCTCGCGGTCGTGGAAGAGGCCCCCCCACAGCACAGTCTCCCGTGGACCTGGAGAGGCTCCTCTCGCGGTCGTGGAAGAGGCCCCCCCACAGCACAGTCTCCCGTGGGCCTGGAGAGGCTCCTCTCGCGGTCGTGGAAGAGGCCCCCCCACAGCACAGTCTCCCGTGGGCCTGGAGAGGCTCCTCTCACGGTCGTGGAAGAGGCCCCCCCACAGCACAGTCTCCCGTGGGCCCTGGAGAGGCTCCTCTCGCGGTCGTGGAAGAGGCCCCCCCACAGCACAGTCTCCCGTGGACCTGGAGAGGCTCCTCTCGCGGTCGTGGAAGAGGCCCCCCCCACAGCACAGTCTCCCGTGGGCCCTGGAGAGGCTCCTCTCGTGGTCGTGGAAGAGCGTCCCCCACAGCACTCAGACCAGAAAGTCTGAGAACGGTTATCTGAGCCAAAGGAGCTGGTGAACGTGTCGGCGGGCGCGGCTGGCCTGCTGCCCGAGCTCCCACATGGCCTGCTCCCACCTCCCCTCCAGGCTCGGGCCTGTTCTGCTGGAGGCTAAGAGCCACAAGGCAAGAATTCCGGCATCTGCCCTATCCCCGGCCACAGTGCATTCTGGGAGTCACCCGTGATACTGCAGGGGGCAGCCCGGCAGTGCCTCTGGCTCCAGCCTCTAGAGAACAGTTCCTACAGTTCGCACGGGCAGACTGGGGTTAGGCTGGGGGTGACCTGCAAGTGTGCACATTTCTGGCTGCACCAGGCTTTGGTTCGGGGTGAGCATGTCTCACAGTGTGTGCTCACCCATCCCCCATCCATCCGAGGCAGAGAGACCAGCGAGCTGTGTCACCTGTGAAGCTGCCATCCGTCTCCCTACTGCTCAGACTTTATTCCACTGAGTGTTTTAGGTAGAATGTGGATGGAGATTCTTGGGGCATGTCTAGCTCACTGTCATGCTAACTAAAAATCTGTTTTTAATTAAGAAAAAAACAAGAACGCACCTGTTCTGGGCTCATGTACAGTTTGGTGCCCACCTGTCCCGTGTGCCTGGCACAGGCGGGCATCGGGGTCAGCACCATCTGCTCTTCCTCATCCTGGTCCATGGCTGTCACTAACCCGAAGTCGCCAACCTTGACCACATCATCCATCGTAAAGAATATGTTGGAAGGCTGGAAAACATAAACATACCAACGCACAATGGATGTGTGTCGAAAAGGAGAGAAAGCGAAGGGAATTTATTAAAATGACAGCAGAAAATAAATACAAGAAACTAGATATTCTCAGGCATGTTTCCCTTTAAAATGAGCTCACGTGAAAACAACAACCCTTCCATGCTAGACGAGCACTGTGGGAAAAGAAGAGGGAAGGGTAGCAGAAGGGGTTTGCATTTACATTTAGCCATTTCACTCGAGTCAGCAAACAGCATCTTACGTAAGCACTTACAGATTCCTATTACCTAGGGCCAGGGCAGCTCATGCTCAAGCTCATTATTCTGCACAGTCGTCCCTCGCCTCTTCGCACTTCCGTGTTCGTGGCTTCACTCTACCGCGCTTTTTCAAATATAGTACAGTGTAGTATAGTGTATAGTATAGCACAGTATAGTATAGTGCAGTATAGCGGATAGTACAGTGTAATGTACAGTATAGTGCAGTGTATAGTATAGTGTATAGTATAGCACAGTATAGTATAGTGCAGTATAGCGGATAGTACAGTGTAATGTACAGTATAGTGTATAGTATAGTGTGTAGTATAGCACAGTATAGTATAGTGCAGTATAGCGGATAGTACAGTGTAATGTACAGTATAGTGCAGTGTATAGTATAGTGTATAGTATAGCACAGTATAGTATAGTACAGTATAGCGGATAGTACAGTGTAATGTACAGTATAGTGTATAGTATAGTGTGTAGTATAGCACAGTATAGTATAGTGCAGTATAGCGGATAGTACAGTGTAATGTACAGTATAGTGCAGTGTATAGTATAGTGTGTAGTATAGCACAGTATAGTATAGTACAGTATAGCGGATAGTACAGTGTAATGTACAGTATAGTGCAGTGTATAGTATAGTGTGTAGTATAGCACAGTATAGTATAGTGCAGTATAGCGGATAGTATAGTGTAATGTACAGTATAGTGTATAGTATAGTGTGTAGTATAGCACAGTATAGTATAGTGCAGTATAGCGGATAGTACAGTGTAATGTACAGTATAGTGTATAGTATAGTGTATAGTATAGTGTGTAGTATAGCACAGTATAGTATAGTGCAGTATAGCGGATAGTACAGTGTAATGTACAGTATAGTGCAGTGTATAGTATAGTGTGTAGTATAGCACAGTATAGTATAGTACAGTATAGCGGATAGTACAGTGTAATGTACAGTATAGTATAGTGTATAGTATAGTGTGTAGTATAGCACAGTATAGTATAGTGCAGTATAGCGGATAGTACAGTGTAATGTACAGTATAGTGCAGTGTATAGTATAGTGTGTAGTATAGCACAGTATAGTATAGTACAGTATAGCAGATAGTACAGTGTAATGTACAGTATAGTGCAGTGTATAGTATAGTTGTATAGTATAGCACAGTATAGTATAGTACAGTATAGCGGATAGTACAGTGTAATGTACAGTATAGTATAGTGTATAGTATAGTGTGTAGTATAGCACAGTATAGTATAGTACAGTATAGCGGATAGTACAGTGTAATGTACAGTATAGTGCAGTGTATAGTATAGTGTATAGTATAGCACAGTATAGTATAGTACAGTATAGCGGATAGTACAGTGTAATGTACAGTATAGTGTAGTGTATAGTATAGTGTGTAGTGTAGAATAGTGTATAGTATAGTGTATAGTGTAGTGTATAGTGTAGTGTATAGTATAGTGTATAGTGTATAGTACAGTATAGTGTATAGTATAGTGTATAGCACAGTATATAGTATAGTATAGTGTATAGTGTAGTGTATAGTATAGTATAGGATAGTGTATAGTACAGTATAGTGTATAGTATGGTGTATAGTATAGTGTATTGTATACTATGGTGTATAGTATAGTATATAGTATAGTGTATAGTGTACAGTAGTGTATAGTATATAGTATAGTATATAGTGTATAGTATATAGTATAGTATAACATAGTATATGGTACAGTATAGTATAGAGTATAGTATAACATAGTATATGGTATAGTATAGTATATAGTATAGTATAACATAGTATATGTATAGTATAGTATATAGTATAGTATAACATAGTATATGGTATAGTATAGTATATAGTATAGTATAACATAGTATATGGTATAGTATAGTATATAGTATAGTATAACATAGTATAGTATAGTATAGTATAGTATATAGTATAGTATAACATAGTATAGTATAGTATAGTATATAGTATAGTATAACATAGTATATGGTATAGTATAGTATATAGTATAGTATAACATAGTATATGTATAGTATAGTATATAGTATAGTATAACATAGTATATGGTATAGTATAGTATATAGTATAGTATAACATAGTATAGTATAGTATAGTATAAAGTATAGTATAACATAGTATATGGTATAGTATAGTATATAGTATAGTATAACATAGTATATGGTATAGTATAGTATATAGTATAGTATAACATAGTATATGGTATAGTATAGTATATAGTATAGTATAACATAGTATATGGTATAGTGTAGTATAGTATAGTATAGTATATAGTATAGTATAACATAGTATATGGTATAGTATAGTATATAGTATAGTATAACATAGTATAGTATAGTATAGTATATAGTATAGTATAACATAGTATATGTATAGTATAGTATATAGTATAGTATAACACAGTATATGGTATAGTGTAGTATAGTATAGTATAGTATAGTATATAGTATAGTATAACACAGTATATGGTATAGTACAGTATATAGTATAGTATAACATAGTATATGGTATAGTATAGTATATAGTATAGTATAACAGTATAGTATAGTATAGTATAAAGTATAGTATAACATAGTATATGGTATAGTACAGTATATAGTATAGTATTTGAAAAAGCCGCGATAGAGTGAAGCCGTGAACGTCGAAGCGCGAAGTGGGAGGGACGACTGTGTATAAGGAAAGAATCCTACTTCGCGGAAATTCATTGATCGCGGTGGAGTCTGGAACTGATTCACCGCGATAAACCAGGGCCAGCTGTAGTCCTCCCTGGCGAGCTTCTCTACATCTATAACTGAAGTCAGGATTATAATAATAGTAACAATAATGGCAAATGCATACATGGCACTTATGTGTCAGGAGCCATTCTGAGCTGTTCACTAGTAATTCATGTGATACTCATAGCCCTATGAGTTCTATTAGTCCTTCGTTTTACAGCTGTGAAAACTAAGTCCCAGAGAAGTTAGATGACTGCCCAGCGTTACCCAGAGAGCAGTGAACAGTGGAGCAGGGATTCGAACCTGGGCAGTCTGGCTCCACTACCCCAGGTCCAGCATTCGTACACGTTGTGCCTTAGGGTGGCTAACCACTGCTACTTGATGAACTAAAGAACCAGACTGACGTCGGGTTTATGTCTGAGGGCAAAGAGACTATCAAGGGGAGTAAGAGCCCTTCCCTGCAACTTCGTGCTGCCTATTCTAATAGCCACACACTCCCAGTATTCTAAGACCTCGGATCTGAGTTATAAGCTCACATGCAACTGTTTAAAGGAGGCAGCTCGCCAAATTTCTCATGGTCCTTAAACTTAAGTCCCTACATGAAAGAGGTCACACTCCCCCGGAGCCTGCTCCAACCCCTGCTAACATGATCCCCATTCCTAGCTCTTGAAATAAGGAAAAGGAAAGCCACTTAGCTCAGGAAATGGACTTTCATCAAGCTTCACATCCAGCCAGACAAATGACATTTTATTCCCAGACTCCGAAATGCCACTATACAGTCTTGACTTTGAAGCAGTGACGTTACTGCACATAACCCAAGTCCACGGCAAGGCCCTCCTGCTCTCCCACAAGCCACCGTAGGAGACACGGGGACTGTGCCGCCTGAAATGTCGTGCCTCCCCCCCGTCGTCTGGTGCCATTTACTGAGCACTGAACAGACTTGCTTTTGTTTGCTGAACATTTCGGGCTCTCCAGTACCTGGCCCCGTACTTCCACCAGTACCCTGGCTGGACTTGGGCCCTCTCTTTCCAGCTGTGCAGCACCCAAGCTGCTCACCCTGAGGTGTCATGAACCCACCAGCATAATCCCATCCCCTGGCCAGGACACTGGTTTAGGGATGGGCATGTACCCCTGGCTTCTCAGTGAGATGGAAACTCAGGACTCTGGTCAACAGTAGAGAAGAGACATACTTTCCCTACTCCCGACCTCACCACCCCGAAAGATTTTAGATGCGCAGCCCTGAGACGAGCAGGCACCTGTTCTGAGACTGAAAACAGACATGAGAAATAGGGCGAGGGCAGGCGTGTTCCGGCCACATTCCTTACTCCGAGATAAAGCTTCGCTCGAATCCTGGACTGTGCAGCATATGAGCCAATTTCCTTTTCGATCGGATTACTGTAAATGCTTTTGGATGCAAACAAGAGAACATTCAAAATACTATTATATTATATGAGAATGTATCAGGCATTGTGCTAAGGATGTACTAGGTGAGCAGGTAAACATGGCTACTGCCCTGTGGAAACGAGGGGACAAATAACAACTGTGATGCGAGCTGTGGAGGAGAATACCAGTTCTCTGTGGACGCTGCGTGTTTAAGAGACAGAGAAGAACCCAGCGCAGCCTCAGTGAAGAGGAGAGGAGAGGTCAGTCTGAGCCCTGGCTGCTGTGGCTCAGCAGTCAGTGTTGGCCTCCAACCGAGGGGCTTAGGCTCAATCCCCAGTCAGGGCACGTACTTGGGCTGATCCCCAGTCCCATGCCAGGGTCGTGTGGGAGACAATCAGTTGATGTGTCTCTCTCACATGGATGTTTCTCTCTCTCTCCCTCCCATTCTATCTGAAGATAAATGGAAAAATATCCCCAGGTGAGGATTTAAAAAAAAAAGGAGAAGTCAGTCTGAAGAATCAGAGGCCAGAGGCGCCTAGGAGGTTTCACTTGCGCTCAAAGACTTAGGTCAGAATGGACAGAATGCACAGCTTTTCCTAACTAAGAATAAAAATCTTGGGGGAATTGTTTTCTGGTTCACTAGAAATCTTTAAAAGAAATTTATCTTTACAAAAGAACTGGTGTTTTGATATCTAGAAAACCTAAAGGGAAAATAAATGATCTTGAAATTATTTTGGTGCATGGAGAAACAAAAGAGAATCTGTAGACAATACCGTACCATTAAACAAACACTCACCAATACCTCATAAACACTGTAAAATCGGCAGAATGTTCAAAATCAGTAAGAACCTCATCACATGCCATTCCACTTGGCATTCTGGGTATACAAGAAGAGTAAGTACAGAAGCATGTGTACGTCAGGTGACTGGCTCCTACCAAATGAGAAACCTGTGCCGATTCATAGCCGGCACTCTCTGGAGTTAGGGCATCTGGCCTCTTGGAAGTCTTCTCCCTTCCAACCAAAATCACCCATCTCTGAACATGTCACTCAGTACAGAGAGTTCCTGCAATACGTTCTGGCCACATCAAAATCACTGAAGCATAGTGATTAGATATAATTCAACAATTACTTTGGAAAATGGGAATTACTTCTAATTCCCATTCTTGTTATTTCAAACTCTTAAAATATATTCAAGGATTAAAAAGCCCACTGCTGCCTTTAAGAAGAAAATTACTCATCCAAATAGCTACTTTGGTGCCTGGAACAAGTTTGTGGTTACATAAAACAAAACTGAAAACACTTAAAACGTGTCCCTCTCTCTCAAGAATTTAAGTGGCTTGATCGGGAAAATGTGTGTGTTCACTACACGTCTGCTAACTATGATGATCACTGAGAACACAGACGTGGCAGAAATCACTACGTAGAGTTCCGTACACACTGGAGACGCTGCATGTTTCAGTGAGAACCTAATGGAATGCAGCATGCTGTGTTGCTACCATATGCAATACTGTGTACACTGAAAATAGAGTCAAAGGTGTTAGCTGCAATCATGTGGCTAGCCACTTGCCAACTTTTATCACCCGGATTCTCACCACTTTTCCCAACCTGGACATTCAGGAACAGGGGCAAAGGATCGTGGCTTGCCGTGATCCAGAGCTGGCTACTGAAGAGCCTGCGTCTCACCTTCCACTGGGTCCCTCTCAGTGTGCAGGCAGGACCTGGTAGGGACCGGTGCCAAGCTTACTCGAAGCCGTAAGAAAATGCTACTGAATTTTACGTGAGACTTTTTTTCTTCAGGCGACTGGAAAGACTCTTTACCATAAAATAGACATAAATACGTCCTAGGGGAGAATTCGCGATTTGCCTGAGGCTTTTAAATCCCAAGATTTCTTAGTTTTGCAGCAGGCCCCTCAGGCTGTGTTCCCAGATCTCTGCTCCTCTCTTAGGGGTCCCTCCGTTGAAAACTGACAAACACGGCAGGGACAGCGCGAAAGAGCTGGAGCGCTGGGACGGCGCCCCAAGTACCGACCTTGAGGTCCCTGTGCATGAGCCCCTTGCTGTGCAGGAACTCCACGGCCTCCGCGATCTGCAGGAAGATGTGCAGGCACGTGCTCCGGCCCCTGTCCTCCATGTGGCACCGGCTGTTCATCCAGTCCTTGAGGTTCTCTTTCCTGCACAGCTGCATCTGGATGTAAAGATACACCTTCGGGGAACTGGGCTGCAGCTTCTCTGCAGTGTTCTTGGTGAGATCGAGACTTAAAGTGGTTGGTCTCGGAAGAGAAACAGACAGGGTCGGTTCCGAAGACTGGCTACTGGAATGCTTGGTGGCAGTTAGTTGAGCAGCATACTGGCTGCCGACACGCAGCCGGGTAGTTTTGGGCTCTTCTTTACTGGAGGCATTACCACAGCCCGAGTCTTCAAACACGATTGAAGAAGAGGTTCTCTCCCTCGACCTTCCACAGGGGGAAGCCTCGGAAGGAAAGAGTCCGAAGGAGAGCCCCTCATTGCTGCCCTCCACAGTGCCGTCCTCCACGTCACAGCCGGTCAGACAGCTGTCCTGCAGGCGGCACACCGCGCCCACGGACTCGCTGCTGTCTCCACGGTCCAGTCCTGAAAGTTCCAGTGGGGAGAAGTGGCTCTCGGATGAACTTGCTTGGCCACAGGAAATCCCTACTGAAAAAGACCTGCTTCGTTGTGGTGACGGAGCTATGATTTCAATGTGCTCCTCCGTGGAGAAAGGATCCACTCTGCGTATCTTAACTGACGGCGCGTCCACAGGGCTAGGAGAGCTGAGTGGCCAGTCTGTGCTAAAGTGAAAGAAATACAAAAGGATAAGAGTACATATGCATTCACTGACTTATGTGAACTACACCCTTTGTTTTAAAAGTTTCAACCCGAGTCCTGGCTGGTTTGGCTCAGTGGTTAGAGCATTGGCCCGCGGACCAAAGAGTCGCGGGCTCGATTCCTGCTAAGGACACGTACCTCGGTTGTGGTTTGTCCCTGGCCCTGGTCAGGGTTGGATGGGAGGCAGCCACTCGATGTGTCTCTCTCACATCAATGCGACCCGCCCCCCAACACACACACACACACACACGCTATCTGAAAATATTTGAAAAAATATCCGGTGAGGATTTAAAAAAAAAGTTTCAACTGCAATAAAGCCAGTTATCAAAACACAAATGATGTATGGATTAAAATAAAAACATGGTATGAGACAAAGAACATCACATCCCATCCATTCCTTGTAAAAACAAAACAAAACATAAAACAAAAAAATACACCATAAGACCTTATTTCCACTGGAAACCATTGTCTGGGATTGACCCACAGGGCAGCCAAGGCCCTTCTGTACACTAAGCGCTGAAGGGAAACCAAAGACAGGCCCCCGGAGGCCACGCCTCTGCGGCCCTGTCCCCATCACTTGGCCATTCCATGGTCTGGCTATGGCTGAGTCCACAGCAGGTGTCACTGTGACAGGGCTGTGCTGGGGCTGTGCGGGGGGCTGTGCCGGAGACTCGAAGGCAGGACTTTTCCTCCAGCTGATTGGTAGAGTCTACTTGCAATCTGTTTCTTCTGTTCTCATTTAGTAGCTTTTAAAGGGCCGCCTCTCCTACTCAGCATGTTTAATATAAGAAGTATCTTCAGGTTGCATATGTTTATGTATTTTTAACTGCAAATAATTGAAAACTACTTTTAAAAGGAGCTGCAAATTGTTAACTACTAAGAATCTGAACAAAAAATTTAAAGCATGTAAACAGCCCTGCCTGTGGCGCAGAGGACTGAGTGCCATTCCATGCCCTGAGAGGTCCTGGTTCGATTCCTGGTCAGGGCACAAGTGCGGGTTGTGGGCTCGATCCCCCGCAAGGAAGGGGGGATGACGTGTATTTCTCTCACATCGATGTTACTATCTCTCTCTCCCTACCTCTCTAAAAAAATTAATAAGCCCAGCTGATGTGGCTCAGTGGTTGAGCATCCACCCCTGCACCAAGAGGTCACCAGTTCAATTCCCAGTCAGGGCACATGCCCAGGTTGTGGGCCGAATCCCTAGTGGGGGGCATGCAGGTGTTGGCCAATCAATGTTCTCTCTCATGGATGTTTCTATCTCTCTCTCCTTCTCCCTTCCTCTCTCTCTCTCTAATCAATAAAGAAAAAAAATCAATAAAATATATTTTAAAATTGTAGACAAAAGCATATAATATCTCTTACCGAGAAAAGCCGCTGTAGACCCTCAGTGAATTACAATTCAAAGAGCCCTATCTACCAAACATTTAAAATCCATGATCCAGATTGGTGATGTCGGCAGCACTGCAGGGTAAGAGGACCCCCAGGTCTCTCCCCTTGGAGTTACAACAAGATGGACAGCTAGCGAAGAGTCAGACCCAATCGGGCACTTGCCATGCCCCAGCTAGCACAATGCCAGCAAGGGGGCCAGGACCCCACTGGACACACTGAAAAGGCCGAGACAGCGCTCTGGGCTGGGCTGGTATGCACTGAGGCTCAGCCATGGGCCAGGGCTTCAGGAACCTGCCCGCCTGTCCTCTGGTCTTCCCGGCAGCAAAATCCTCACTCGGCGGATCACAAAAGGTCAGGAAAAACTTACCAGCCTAAGTAGTCTGTACTCATTGCAGCTAAATCCACTAAAAAGAAAAAAACATAGACACCCAAAACTGTTTCTCCCACACAGCTCCACCCCCACACACATCCAGTGGACCCTGGGAGCAGCTGTGTCAACTCAGGAAGATCAGCTCTGCCTGCAACTTCTAGCTAAGGGAAGACTGGGCAGTGGGCACGCACAGGCCAAGACACCCACAGAGACCCATAAAGACCCACATCCCACCACAGGAGTGGTGCCCGAGACCAAGACAACTGGGTCTTCAGGGCAACGCCCACCTCCTAGGGGCATTTTAATGGCCAAGGTGGCACTACCCTACAGATACCCTTCAAGACCCTTAAGAAAAAAATAAAAACTTGTGCTTCAGCACCACCTACTGGAAAACAAAAGAAAGACATCTACTGTATTTAAACCAACCTGCTAAACAGTGAAGAGTTAAAATACTTAAAAAATTTTTCATTTCCACAAATTCCCAGGCAGAAAAATAATCTATTAAGCACAACAGATAACCAAGGTAACAAGAAAGTTCAAAAAGAATTAAAAATCTCCAGAAAATAAACTTAAAGACATGGAAGACTGTGATTTAAATTATAGAAAATTCAAGATGACAGTTCTGAAAAATCTCAATGAGATACAAGAAAAATCAGAAGAGTAATTCAAAGAACTTAGAAATAAAATCAGCAGACAAAAGGAGTACTTTACCAAAGAGACTGAAAGTATAATAAAAAAGAACTAAGCACATTTTTGAGCTGAGGAACTTAATAAAAATCTAGAACTGAGACACATAACATAAAAATAAAGAAAACAGAGGACAAAATCATAGAATACCAACAAACTAATGTAGCAAACAGAAACATAGGGTAAAAAAAAAAGAAAAGAAAAGAAACACAGAGCTACCAGAAAACAAAAGATAAACTGGAGAGAGGAAATGCTCATACATCCATAATTACCCTAGCTGTAAATGGGCTGAACTCACCAACTGAAAGGCACAAAGTAGTAGAATGGGTTTAACAACACACACACACACACACACCCCAACCATAGCTGCTTTTAGGTGACACATCTCAACTGCAAAGACAAACAAATTCAAAGAGAAGGGGTACAAGACGATACTCCAAGCAAATGGCATTCAGAGAAAATCAAGTGTACGCACTCAACTGAGAGCACCAAAGTATGTAAAGCAACTACTAACAGAACTAACAGGAGAAACAGACAAAAATAGTTATAGTTGGGGACCTAAACACCCCTTTGACAGCAATGGATAGATCACCCAAACAGAAAATCAGTAAGAAAATATTGGCCTTAAATAACACATTAAACCAAACGAACATAATCAATAATTATAGAGCCATTCATCCCAGAACCCCAGGATATACATTCTTCTCTAGGGCACATGGAACATTCTCAAGGACAGACTATATGTTGGGGCAAAAACTAGTCTCAACAAATTCTAAAAGGTTGAAGTTATACCAAGCATATTCTCTGACCACAATGATCTGAAACTAGAAATCAACTGCAGAAAGAAAGCTGGAAAAACCACAAATATGTGGACATTAAACAACATGCTACTAAACGACGACTGGGTAAAAGAAGAAGAAAAAGGAGAGATCAGAGAATAACAGAGACAAATGAGAATGACAATACAAAATATCAAAATTTGGAGGATGGGGCAAAAGCTGTAATAAGAGGGAAGTTTACAGCATTACAGACCTACCTCAAGAAGCAAAACCTCAAATAAACAACCTAACGTTTCACCTTAAAGAAACAGAGAAAGAACAAATGAAACCAAAAGTCAGAATAAGGAAGGAAATAAAAATTAGAGCAGAATTAAATGAAATAGAAAACAAAAAGAAACAGAAAAAGTAATGTAACAAAGAAATGGTTCTTTGAAAGAATAAATAAAATTGACAAACCTCTGGCTTCACTCAGGAGAAAAAGAAAAAAGCCTCAAATAAACAAAATCAGAAATGAAAAAGAAATTACAGCGGACACCACAGAAATACAAAGGACTATACAAGAATACCATGAAAAGCTCTAAGTCACCGAATTCGATAACCTAGAAATATATACACTTCCTAGACTGAATTATGAAGAACTGGAAAATATAAACAGACTGATCAACAGTCAGGACATTGAAACGGTCATCAAAAACTGTTCCCCCAAAAAGTCCAGGACCAGATGGCTTTACTAGTGAATCCTACCAAACATTCCAAGAAGATTTAATACCTATCCTTCTCAAACTCTTCCAAAAACTTGAGGAGGCAATAATTCCTAACTCAATATGAAGCCAATATTACCCTGATACCAAAAACTGGCAAGGATAACACACACACACACTTACAGACCAATATCTCTGATGAATATAGATGCAGAAATCCTAAACAAATCAAATACAACAATACATTACAAGGTTCATACATCACGATTAAGTGGGGTTCATTCCAGAGGCACAAGGATGGTTCAACATATGCAAATAGGTCAATGTTAATACACCACATTAACAAAATAAAAGATAAAAATCATATCAATAAATACAGAAAGAGTATTTGACAAGAGATAACATTCACTTATGATTAAAACTCTCAATAAAATGGGTGAAGAAAAGTACCTTAACATAACAAAGGCCATATATGACAAACCTTCAGCTAATATCATATTCAACAGTGAAGAATTAAAAGCTTTTCCTTTAAGATTAGAAACAAGACAAGAATCACCACCTTCACTACTATGTATTCAACATAGGATTAAAAGTCCTAGCTAGAGCAATCAGACAAGATGAAAAAATAACAGGCATCCAAATTGGAAATGAAGACATAAAACTGCCATCTTGTGCAGGTGACACAACTCTCTACACTGAAAATCCTAACGACTCCACCAAAAAATTATTAGAAACAATAAACAAAAACAGTGAAGTGGTAGAATACAAAATCAATGTACAAAAATCTGTTGTGGTTCCTATATACTAACAATAAAATGTTAGAAAAAGAAATGAACAAAACAACTGCATTTGCAATCATAACAAAAATAATAAAATACCTAGGAATAAACTTAACAAGAGATGTCAAGAACCTATACATTGAAAAGTACAAGGCACTGTGGAAAGAAATTGAAGACAAAGAAGTGGAGATATTCCATGGCACAGACAGGAAGAATCAACATAGTTAAAATGGCCATATTACCTAAAGCAATACACAGATTTATTGTAATTGCCATCAAAATCCCAACAGCAGTTAAAAGAAATTTTTGAACAAAAAAAAATCATCAAATTCGTATGGAAACACAAAAGATCTCAAGTGGCAAAAGCAATGCTGAAAGGGGAAAAGAAACCCACAACAAAGCTGGAGGTATCATATGCTCTTACTTCAAATCACACTACAAAGCTTCAATAATCAAAATAGTATGGGATTGGCAGAAAACAGATACACAAACCAATGGAACAAAATTGAGAGCACAGAAGTAAATTCACATGTATATTGGCAAGAAATTTTCAACAAAGGAGCCAAAAACATACAATGGAGAAAAGAGAGTCTCTTCAATAAATGGTACTGGGAAAATTACAAAGCCACATGCAAAAGAATGAAACGAGACTGCTACTTATTAACACCATACCTAAATATTAACCCAAAATGGATTAAAGACTTTAACATGACCTGAAACAATAAAAGACATAGAAGAAAACGTATGTCCTAATTTACAGATCTTGGTCTCAGAGAGGATTTTATGAACTTGATCCCAAAGGCAAAAGAAGTAAAATAAAAATAAATGTATAGAACTACATCAAAATAAAAAGCTTCTGCACAGCAAAAGAAACCATAAACAAAACAAAAAGGCATCCAACTGAACGGGAGAAGATATTTGCAAAAAATATCTCCGATAAGGGGCTAATACCCAAAATATATTAAACCCATACAACTCAACAAGAAAACAAATAATCTACTTTAAAAATGGGCAGAGGACTGAACAGACAGTTTCCCCAAGAACACATACAACTGGCCAACACATACATGAAAAGATGTTCAACTTTACTAGCTATTAAGGAAATGAAAATCAAAACCACAATAAGAGCCCTGGCCGGTTTGGCTCGGCGGTTAGAGGGTCGGCCTGTGGTCCAGAGAGACCCAGGTTCGGTTCCAGCTAAGGGCACGTACCTTGGTTGCAGCTTGTCCCTGGCCCTGGTTGGGTCGTGCGGGTGGCAACCACTCTTTGTGTCCCTTTCACATCTATGTTTCTCTCTCTCCCTCCACTCTATCTGAACAAAATATGGAAAAATATTCTCGGTTAAGGATTAAAAAACAAAACAGAACAAAACACAGTAAGATACCACCCCAGACCTGTTAGAATGGCTGTTATCAACAAGACAAGTAATAACAAGTGTTGAGAAGAGCTTGTGGAGAAAAGCCAACCTTCATACACAGCTGGTGGGACTATAAATAAGTATAGCAACTATGGGAAAGCGGTATGGAGGTTCCTCAAAGCATTAAGAATAGACATGATTGTCTAGCTACCATGCTGTACATCTAAAAGTAATACAGAATAATACTGAATGTAAACTGTAATTTATTTATTATTTATTTATCCTCACCGGAGGACATTTTTCGATATTTTGTTCAGATAGAGTGGGAGGGGGAGAGAGAGAGAGAGAAACATCGACGTGAAAGGGACACATCGAGTGGTTGCCACCTGCACAACCCAACCAGGGCCGGGGACAAACTGCAATCAAGGTACGTGCCCTTAGTGGGAACCGAACCCGGGTCTCTCCAGATTGCAGGCCGACGCTCTAATCGCTGAGCCAAACCAGCCAGGGCTGTAAACTGTAATTAAAAAAAAAATTTTTTAATTAAAAATAGAGCTACCATATGACCCAGTAATCCTTCTTCTGGGTATCTACCCAAAAAATCTGAAAACATTTATTTATAAAGATATCTGTAGCCTTATGTTCACTGTAGCATTATACATGATAGCCAAAACATGGAAACCACCTAAGGGTCCTTCAATGGACGATCAGATAAAGAAGTGGTACATACATACAATGGAATACTACTCAGCCATAAGAAAGGATGAAAGACTGCTATCTGTGACAACACAGATGGATCTTGAGAGTATCACACTAATTGAAGTAAGTCAAATGGAAAAAGACCATATGATTCCACCCACATGTGGGATAACAAAACAGAAAGCTGCAAACAAACAAACTCAGAGACACAGACAACAGAAAGGTGATAACAGAGGGAAAGGGCTGTGGGGGGAGATGAAGAGAGTAAAGGGGGTCAAATATATGGTGATGGAGGGAGACCTGACTTTAGTTGGTGAGCACACAATGCAATATACAGATTATGTATTATAGAATTATACACTTGAAAGTTATATATTGTTATTAACCAATGTCACCCCAATAAGTGTAATTGAAAATCCATGCTTTGGACAAAAAAACAAAAACAAAAAAATCATGTTTAAGTACTAAAAGAACTTTCACTTAACAAGTGACTAGAGAACGTTCCAAAACATGGTGAGCGAGAACACCTCTGCTGTTATCTTTCTTTTTAAAAAAATCATCTGTAAGGTTGTAGAAATAATATTTTGTCTGCATAAGAAAAAACTAACCTGAAAGAAAACATTAATATTTAAGTCTATGTCTAATAATGTTACCTTTCATCTTTCAGCCAAATTTCATCCATTTTTTCTTGCCACTTCTCTGGTGGTGCTTCCAACCAAGCATTGAAGTACCTGACAATTCCTGGGTGTTCAAGCTTAGCTAAAGCTTTAACTTCTCGCATGACTTTTTCCCGAGCCAAATCCCTAAATAGAGAAAAAAGAAGACACTAAAGTTTGCTCTGATCTGAAGAAGTAATGGTATCCAACAGTGAGAACTAAAACTCTCTAGAATCTAAAATTAGAAACAGATGAATTAACATACTGGCATAATTCTAAAAAGTCAATATTAAGTCCTGTACTTAAGAAATATATACATTTTTAGGTTTTTTTTTTTAGTTCTAGAAGTGCTACAAGCACATCTATTGCATCATTTTAAAAAGCTTTCTCACCCTGGCCAGTCTGGCTCAGCGGTCAGAGTGTTGGCCCGCGGACCAGAGAGGCTGGGGTTCGGTTCCCGCTAAGGGCACGTACCTCGGTTGCAGTTTGTCCCCAGTCCCGGTTGGGGTCATGTGGGTGAAAACCACTCCATGTGTCTCTCTTACGTTGATGTTTCTCTCTCTTCCTTTCTCTCTCCCTCCCGCTCTATCTCAAGATAAATGCAAAAATGTCCTCGGGTGAGGATTAAAAAAAAAAAGCTTTCTTGGCTCACTAAAATGGATGACTACAGACTTTTAAAGATCATTGCTTGATTTTTTTAATGAACAGGAAGAACAGGTACAAAGTCATGTGTTGAGGAAACAGCTCAGTCTCACGACTCAGGAGGATGACGAGCGACCACCCAACAGGATACACATTACAATGCAGGAAGCTTCTCTGAGCATGTTTATTTAAAGCGAGCCTCAACTACTGAATATCATGGGCAGTGAAGTTCAAAAAACATCTAGCTTTGACCTTTTGCTGTGACAATTTTCAGATGAGTTGCACTCATCTCATACCTCCAGGGATCCCGCTATCATCTGAAACAACGTAACAACAGATAGCTCCCCTTCCTGCCCCAGGAGGGGGTCTGCTACTTGTTCCTGTCTCCACCTGAACTCACCAACTTCTTCGTTTGTTACCAAATCCTATCAGCTCCTCTTTTTCAGTTCTTTACACTCATTCCTTTCTCATCTGTCCCCACTGCTTTTGCACTAACATTCTGTATATTAAGACTAAACTTTTGCAAAAATAAATCTCCTAATTAACATTCTTGTCTCTGGTCTTTTCCTCATGTCAGCCATCAACATGTCACCTCCACTCTGATCCAGTCATTCTTCTGTTCAAAGGCACACTGTCTACAAAATGAAGTCTAAACTTTTGGCTTGACATTTAAGGTGCACCATCCCATCTTTTCCACCTTCTCTTCCACCACCTTACCCTTCGTTCCCCCTTGCCAGAACCCTGTCTCCCCACCTCCTGAGTGTAGGCCCTGGCCTCTGTCAGGCCCTTCCGTGGGCATGGCCACCCCTCCCCGACACACCTGGTTACAGAGGGTGAACACTCAGTGCAGATGCCACTACCCCCGTGAAGCGTGCCTCCCTGACTGCCTTTCAGCGACATCTGAGCTTTTCTCATGAGAAGCTATTTACTTAACGGAAGTCACAGCTCACAATCTTCCTTGCATGGTTATTATTTGAGGATATACGCAAAAGCCTCAAATAGCTGCAGGTTCTAGAGTGCAGAAGCCTTTCCTTTGCAGTGCCTTGCACATATAAATATTTAGACTACTTAAAAATTATATACCAAAGAAAAGAATTAGTCCCACAGTGCTCAAACATCCCATTCCTGTGTCCCTGCTGGACAGCACATGTAACTATCAGTTAGGGAAGCCCAGTATTAGTGCCCACTTAATTGAGACTCCATGCTAAGTGAAGTCAGCCAGGCAGAGAAAGACAAACACCATATGATTTCACTTGTATGTGGCATCTAAAGAACAAAATAGCTAACAAACAAAATAGAAACAGACTCACAGATGCAGAGAACAGACTGACAGCTGTTAGAGGATAATGGGGTTGAGGGGCTGGGTGAAAAAGGTGAAGGGACTAAGCAAAACAAACAAAACGACTCACAGACAATAGTATGGTGATGACCAAAGGGAAAAGGGGGTGGGGGAGGCAGAAGACAGTAAAGGGGCTACATGGTGATGGGAGCAGACCTGACTCGGGGTGATAAACACACAACACAACATACAGATGATGTATTACAGAACTGCACACCTAAAACCTATACAATTTTATTAAGCAATGTCACCCCAATAAATTCAATAAAATTTTTTTAAAAAGACAAAGAATCCATAGGAGTCTTCTACCACATGTGGAAAGGAAGGTACCTGGAAGCTCATCATCTTAAGTATCACACTGTCCTGAGTCAGAAATTTTACTTCTAGGGATCTATCCCAAGGAAACAGATGTGACCAAATATTTATATAAAAGATGAATACTGCAAAGTTATTTTTAATAGCAACAAATTGGAAACTTAAATGCTTAACAATAACAAATGCTTAAACATAATATAGCACATGTATTACATGAACTATTATCCAGCTATAAAATACTTTAAGCATATTTTAACATTTTAACAAAATACTCTGATTAACATGGAAAATGTTGAGAATACAAAGAAGGAAGCACGAGTTGAAACTGTACTGAATTGACTGTACTGAATTGATAATTAGGTAAACTGATGACCGGGAAAAAATCAAAAGGAAATTCTCTAAAATGCTAGAAGTATTTATTACTGGGTAGAAAAACTGATAATTATTGTTTTAATACTTTTCTTTATTTTCCACAATAAATACAGATTGTTTTGAAATGGTGCTATGTATTAAAATCTATCATTATTAAAATTCACTATGGGGAAGCTCTGAGTTGTTCAAAATAAAAAACAAGGGCCTGTTTTAAAAAGTAGATTCAAAGCAACCAAAGCAGATTGCATCTCTTATTTATTTTTTATATTTTTCATCCTCACCCAAGGGCATTTTTGCATTTATCTTCAGATAGAGAGGGAGGGAGAGAAGGGTGAAGAGAGAGAAACATCGATGTGAGAGACACATCAGGGCGCTGACTGCGTCTTTTAGACAGTTGGTTACTGGCAGCACTTGGAACCCAGATTCAGAAGTCTGTAAAGTGTTTCCTAGAGTCTCTCTGGAGCACAGTAAGAAGGCCATATTGCCTGTGAGATCAGAATAGACTAGACAGTGCTAACTCCTAGTTTACGAAAAGTACCATCCGTTACCTGTTGGGGAGACGGATCCTCTTGATAGCATAATTGCAGTCATCTACTTTGTTTCTAGCTTCAAAGACAACTCCAAACCCACCACGACCCATGCACTGAATCGGTTCAAAGTCTGTTAGATATCTACAAGAAATAATTATGTAGTTTTAAATTCTGTAGTATGGTCATAGTCAGTTCAATCTTATTCTATGATATATAAAAATGTATAAATTCAGTAAATCTCACAGAAGTTATTTTAATAAAGAGTATAAATCCTACTAATTACATTCTTCGTTCTCCTATTTGTATAAACTAAGCAAACATTCTAATTCTTTCCCTAGGAAATTCATAAAACATGTAAAAGCTTCTGCTTCACTGAATCACCTGTTCATCACTTGCTCGTAAAGCAGCTGTACCACTGTTCTGTCCTACCCAACACTTCCCACCACCTATCAAAATACCATCCTTCTCCACCCTTTTACCTCCTGTGGTATTCTGTACTCAGTTCAACATGCATTTTCATCTAATATCAGTGCCTGTGAGTTTTATGGAACGAATGTAATCAATCCTATTATAACTAAGTACTGTGCAAGCCAGAAGTCGCTCTGGGAACCAGAGCTATCTGCACTTGGTGGGCTGCCACAAGAATCAGCGTCTCATATGCGCGGCACTCAGACAGGAGCTGGCTCGCCATGTCACCACAGATGGACCCCATGGCAGGCCTGACCTCACTCGCCCGCACTGCGTGTTCCAGCCAACTTGCCCCAGGTGCTCCCACAGCTTCAGAGCTCTGGCCTCTGCTACTTGCTCGACCGGGATGGCCCGCTTCTCTGTACTTAACGAAACTATTCTTCATTCTGCTCTCTCACTACCTCTGTGAACCCTTTCTAGTCCCCCATTTAATGTTCTCCTAACACTGTGCACATAGTACTATGAACTATTTAAAATTAATCTCAATATTTTGCAGTTATTTGGATGCAGCTCCCTTTCCCCACGGCCACTGGATTGTGAGGACCTTGAATGCAGAGACGCATTCTCATCTCGCTTTGTATTTTCAGAGCACGGGCTCACCAGCAAACAGAAGGTCTAACAAACACCTACTGGCCAAGGCATAAGTTAGTAAGTGAATGAATGGATGCAAGCATGCTGTGGACGTTATTCTTCCAGCCACATGGGGGAGAGTTGAATTAGATTATCTTTGATATCCCTTACGAGGCTAAGTTTATTACTTTACGATCTGCACACTCGTGTTAATGTAGTAGTTGGCTCAGCCTGTTAGAACATTGGAGTTAAGCAGTAGAGGTAACAGATCCCAATCCTCCATGAACCAATTACCTTCACACAGCTGACTAACAATGTCTACCCCTAAAAATAGCTGGTCAAGGTACTTCAGCACAAATCCATCTCCCCAGATGCAAAGGCCCATGAAGTTCATGTCCTGCTCCTGGAGGGCCAACTGAATTATCTTCCTATATTAAGAAAACATCCATATGAAAATGGATATATCTTCTGAAAAGAGAAACACCGTATGTATGCTTGCAGACTCTCTGAATACACGTATCACTGTGCCGAAGGTCTGGCTGATCAATGACTGAGACTCAGGCCTGAACGCAGAGCTCGCAGCCTGAATATGCCGAGAATACAGTCGGCACTCGGCACACATCAGGTATACTACAGAGCTCTTGCATCTGAAAGACAAGCAGCTCTACTCTTCATCATGAATAAAGTTAAAGGAAAATTAGGGCATTCAGTTTTAGACTACACTATTCTAATTCTCTTCACAACAGCTTTACAAATATGTATTTATTCATCATACCTCGCTCCTCCTCCCATTTCTGTTTACCTAACTCTTACTCATGATTTAGGAGTCAATTAAAAGGTGACCTCATTTATGATGCCCTCTTAAATCATCACTAGAGCTGGTCATCTGGTTCATGGCTTTTCTGGTATGTTATGTTCCCCAGTATTATCTCCCCCCAGACTTTAAGCCCCTCCAGGACAGGCCCGGTCTTTCTATTTCCCGAAGCCTGAAACACTGTCCTGCGCAGTGCTCAGAGTCAATGCTGAATGAACAATGACAGCCTAGTGGCAGACCACCCACGGGAAGTGGCCGCGCCCATTCTCCCCCCCCCTCCCTGCCTACTGGTATTGCCGGCCTGGACACATCTTGACCAGCAAGGCTCTTAAGGCCCTTCCCATCTGTGAGTAACTTAGTAAATTTTGCTTTAAGAAACTAACAGTTAAAACAAATTGATTATAGTAAATTCTCAATTTTTGATAAAACAGTATGAATGCAGCTCAGATAAATGAAGTCCACAGATAATCAAAATATCACACGTTTCAGCTATAATTTTCTATCTTTCCGCCACGAAACCCCCGCCCTCGCTATCAGGCAGGAAGGCTCTGTGGCTCCTCCTTGGCCCAGTCTAACCCAAGTGCAAGCACAAAGTGCTGGGAAAGGGCGGCAGGGCACGTGATGCGGGAGACAAGCCACGGCACCGTCTCCTGGCCCACGCGCGTCACACTCTGCATGCCTGGCAGATGCTCGGAGGCTCTATTTCTACTTTACTTTTAAATTATTTGAGTTGACTATGTTTAGGTAACTTACTTACCTCTTCTGCTTTTAAAAATGATCTATTCTGTTGGTATATTCCTCCTATCCTCCTACTTCTAACTCTAGACAGAATAAAGATGAAATAATTGAGGATTAAGTAACATGAAGATTCATATTATAGTCTCATAACACAATAATTAGCATTTAATGCTACAAAAACCCTCAAACACTAAGTTATCTGATAAAAACTTAACTTGGCAGTTGAAATGCTAAACCTCTGTCATACTCTATTTCTATCCATATTAGGGTACATACCACTGTGAATAAGTTAAGTTACTTGAGGGCTAAGTCTACGGCATTTACTTAGGTAGTCACACATCTAAAACCCCAGTTAATCAAGGCGTTACTTCAGGGGCCACTTCTTTGACCCAAACAACTGTCACTGGAAGCGACAGCAGACACAAACACACACACATTTTAGGATAAGACTCTTACCGTGATATGTATCCAGAATTTTTTATGTCATTCCAGGTACTGTCATTAGCTTCTCCACTTACAGAATCATATTTATTTTCAGTTTGACACTGAGTTTCAGATTCCTTCCTTTGCTGATAGGCAGGGGGGAGGGAGGAAATCACCATCAGTACCAAGCTTGATGAAAGTTAGCTAACAACTTTAGGTTATAAACTAACATTAAAAAAATAAATAAGCAGCCTGGCCAGTGTGGCTCAGTGGCTGGGCGTCGACCCATGCACCAGGAGGTTGCCAGTTGACTCCTGGTCAGGGCACATGCCCAGGTTGTGGGCCCCATCCCCAGTGGGGGGCATGCAGGAGGTGGCCAATGTTCTCTCTCATGATATTTCTCTCACTCCCTCTCCCTTCCTCTCTCTCTAAAATCAATAAAGAAAAAATATTTTAAAAAATAAAATTAATAAATACTATAGAGAAAAATAAAGGCATTATAAGAACACAAAACAGCGCATGTCCCTTGCGAAACGGAAGGAGAGGGCGGGTGGGGGCCCGACGGCAAGGCCCGGGAGCCACCGAAGGGAAGAAAGGGGACGGCACAGGGCGACAAGGAGCTGACGGTCAAGCCTAAGTAAATGTACCCCCCCCACACACACGTAGTTTTGGAAACTCCCAGCACTCTGAAATACACTGGACCCTGAGGCGCCTCACTCTGTGCGGCGGCGGGTGGAAGAGCCTGCGCACGATGAACGTGGTGGCCGCGATGCAGAACAGGATGGTGCCCGCGATCTCCTTCCACCAGTGCAGGAGGAGGACCGGGTCCTTTCTGCGGACGTTCCTGGTGTAGGCCGGGTTCTCCGCGAATCGGACTGTGATCTGGGTGCTCCTGGTGCTCCGCTTGCCCCGTTCTCTCTGATAGTACGGCAGATAATAACCATTATCTGAAAAAACAAGCAGTAAAAGGTTGCTTTAGTGTTTAAAAAGATAAACCGAAGTGGATTCATCTTAAAAATGACCCATTTTCCTATAACTTACAACAGTAATTACTTTTGTAAAAGCTTCATCTCTTCTGGAACACATTCGATAGCCTCATTTACCTGAGATTTTTACTATGCAAATACATTTTCTTTTATTCCACAAGCAACAGACATTTTCTTTATACTGAATAATAAGTCCAGAAAAAATGGAAAGGCCATCCCACTCATTACCTCATTAATAATTAAGTCCTTTAAATGCAGGAAAGAATTAGTAATCCCCTTCCTTGAAGGATTTTAAACTTTGCTTTAATTTAGCATCAATCAAATGCCATATTTTACCATGAGTCATTCTTCAGACACTGCACAATGTGGGCCGATTACCCAGTGCTCTCTTACCTGGGCTCTGATCAAATCGGTAAAGGCTGGTGTTTCTAGTTCAGAGCCCTCAGTTTTTTATCAATTTAAGTTCTGCTGACGAGGAATCTATGTTTCTGTCTAATGCCAACGTGGGGACTTTTTTATATCTAACTGTTCAAAAGACTTTCCCATCTAAAAATATCCTAACTTTAAATACACAGAAATGTGTTTCCTGCCAAAATTCACCTATTCTTGACTTTTGTAATAATTTTCCTTGTGTGCAAACAAAATTGAAACAACCTCTTTTTACATCATTTTCACATAGCTCTAAGGAAACACCTGTTTTCTTCGTAACACTGACTGATTTTACATAGATTACATTATCTAGGCTGACAATTAAATAAGAACTAATGCTTACTGTACACTTATTTGCAGGCACGGTGTTAATTAAAACTATGTGCATTATCTCACTTAGACCTCACAACAACCCAATAACAGCCATGAGAAGCACCATCCTTGTTTTACAGGGATAGGAACAGAAACACAGTCAAGTCAGGTGTCCAACCCAAGAGGTGGCCAGATGGGTCTGAACCTGGCAATCTGACTTGGAGCTTGCCCCTGGCCACCATTCACCAGATTGCCTTCTATGGTATTTTCTTTTCTACCCCCAACCACTACCTTTCACTTGAATTTTGTTAATTAATTTCAAATAGTACATAAAATAAATTAAAAATAAAACGCATTTTCAATCCAAGAATAAGCACACTTACCATAAGGATACTGCAAGATTGAAAGTGCGCCATTACTGTACTCTTCATGAGAAAACTTATCGTTACTAAGACATTTGTCAAATTCATCAGACCCTACCAAGATAGGAGTTCTGGAAGGAGAATCTGAAAGAAAATGTAAAAACTTAACCACTAAGACTTTCATTAAAACACGTGTACCTCATTCATTAAAAAAACAGATATTCAAATAGTTCAGTTCAAGTATGTAAGTCAAACAAATGGCGCAAGGTTCTCCCCCTTCAAAAGCAATCTTGGAGAGAAGATGAATCCTTTAAACAAGTAATTAAAACCGTGTGATACAAAAATATACACAAGGTACAAAACGATAACTGAAGAAAGTAGGTAGCCTGGTATTTGATTTCAATTCATTAAGTGTGTCAAAGAGTATGTACCAACCAGGTAATTTCTTCATAAATTCTTTATATCAGTAGGCTAATAGCTCACTTGGTCATGGTTGGTGAATGGTTAAAAGTTTTTCTAAGTTGTACAGACAAATATTAACATTGAGTTCCAGCAAACCAACTGTTGTTTCAATGAAATCATGTTCTAAATGGTAATTAAAATTCATTAACATCTGCCTGGCCTGAGTGGCTCAGTTGGTTGAGCATAGTTCTGTGCATCAAAAGGTTGCCGGTTTGATTCCCAGTCAGGGCAGATACCTGGGGTTCAATTCCCATTTGGGATGCGTACAGAAGGCAACTGATCAATGTTTCTCTCTCCCTCTTCCCCTCTCTCTAAAAATTAATGAACATGTCTTTGGTGAGGAGTGAAAAAAAAAATTATTAATATCTGAAATACCTTCCTAGTTTATCAGAAAATATAGAGAATATAATTGTTGTGATCTTTATGACAGTCAAAAGTAGGGCAAAGACACTCATGACGGGGCCTCTGAACACGCTAAAAAACTTTATAAAAGTTTACAATCCACTTACGAATTAAGGGTTTCCATTTGATCGTTGGCAAAGGAATAATTGCGTTTTCATTATGAACAGATTCCAAGGCCTTGGGATTTGTTGGAAACTTTTCTGAAATTCTGACTGATGACTGCAGATACAGCTGGCCTCTGTACATTCCTGAATCAACCAGAACACTATCAGTTTTATTGATAATCAAGCACCAATAATAGTTTTCAAAAGGTTCATTTCATTTAAGAATATTAGATTAAATCCAGTTATCTTTCATGTGTTATACAGCTCTTTCAAAAAAAAATCATGCCTGACACACTCAAATGACCCAAAGGCTATTCAACAAGAATACGGGAGGAAAATTACACCCAAGGTTCATACAATGTTTCACACTGAATAATAACTTTCAATAATTACTGGAGAGCTTGAACAGTAGGAAAATTCAAAGAAAAGAAGTCAGTGTACTCTTATGAGACTAATAACTTAGATGAACTAACATTCTCTTGAAGAAAATAATTCCAGAGATACTGCTAACAATTCAGTTACATTTAGTATCATTAACATGTGTAACATGTTAATCTTTCAAATTCCTACATTTCATTGAGAATGAGCAGTAGGTAGCACACCGTTAGAGCTTAAAGAAGTCTGTGAGTATCTGACCACCAAAACTAATTCAAATAATTAGATTCAAGGTTTTTCTAAAGTTATTATGTCAAAGGCCTTCAACTGTCCAGAAGTACTCCAAAATTTTATTTTTATTTTTCAGATAAGTTGTATAAATGCACAGAAAAATAAAAAACAAACGTAATCTTTAAGGGAGGAACAAATTGCAAGTACAAATACAGATGTAGAAAGTTTTAGACTTTGAGGATATATCAGTAATTTGAAATATGCTATATATATGTATAATGGCAACATTTTTAAACCTTTCTAATCTAGGTCTCAGAGAAAAAAAATCTATTGTAATTAAAAGTTTCAGAACTGGATAAATGAAACAAAATAGCAGGACTGGAAATAAAACTCTAGATCTCAGGGCGGAGAATGTATCCAGGACTTAAAACTACTATGGGCACTCTGAAGCCGAAGCAACGCTGTGGGCGTCTAAACTAGATGTCCATTCGTCTGCAACCAGATGAGACCCTCACCCAGGTAAACGCTGTTTTCTAAACTAGATGTCCATTCGTCTGCAACCAGATGAGACCCTCACCCAGGTAAACGCTGTTTTCTAAACTAGATGTCCATTCGTCTGCAACCAGATGAGACCCTCACCCAGGTAAACGCTGTTTTCTAAACTAGATGTCCATTCGTCTGCAACCAGATGAGACCCTCACCCAGGTAAACGCTGTTTTCTAAACTAGATGTCCATTCGTCTGCAACCAGATGAGACCCTCACCCAGGTAAATGCTGTTTTCTAAACTAGATGTCCATTCGTCTGCAACCAGATGAGACCCTCACCCAGGTAAACGCTGTTTTCTGTGGCTCCTCGGGCAGCTTCTACAATGTCTTCTTCGTCTTCTAAAACGTCATCATTTGAGACATAACTTGTGTCATCAAAAAGGCTGATGGGAATGACTTTGCCATCCTTAACCAGCCAGGCAGATGCGATGGGAGTACAAAACTAAACAAGAGTGAAAAAGTTTTTTAAATAATTTCAAGCAGTATGTATGTATTCCAACTTCTAAAATACCATTTAAAGTCACAAATTTCTTTTTACATTTTTATTTTTCCAGATTTATTGACAAAAATGCATATATTTACGGTGAAAAATGTGATATTTTGATATATGTATCCATTGTGAAATGATTAGCACAGTCAAGCTAATTAACACACCCATCACCCCATAGTTATTTTGTGTGTGTGGCGAGAACATTCATATCTACTCTCATTTCACAATGTATATGTACATCAAATCATCACGATGTATAGACCAAATAGATACAGTTTATACTTGTCAATTGTACTCGGTAAAGCTAGAAAGAAATTTTTTTAAAAAGTCTATACTCATGGCAAATTTCAAGTATATGATATAGAATTATTAATTACACTCATCACCATGCTATACATCACATCTGCAGACTTCAGTCATCCTGCATAACTGAAACTCTGTATTCTTGACCAGTATCGCCCCATTTCCCCTCCCCGCTAGTCCCATTCCTCTCTCTGCTTCTATGGAGTCAACCTTTTCAGATTCCACCTATAAGTGAGATGATGCAGTATTTAATTTTCTGTGTCTGGCTTATTTCCCTTGGCATAATGTCCTCCAGGTTCAATGTTGTTGCAAGTGACAGGATCCCTTTTTGAAAGCTGAATAATATTCCACCGTGTCCACTCATCCGCTGGTGGATGCTTAGACTGATTCCATGTCTTGGCTACACTGAGTACGGCCACACTGAACATGGACTGCAGATGTCTCTCAGAGATACTGACTTCACTCCTTTGGGATGTGCACCCAGAAGTGGAGTGCAGGGTCACACAGCAGGTCCAGCCTTAGCTTTCTGAGGAACTGCTCACTGGTTTCCATAGTGGCTGTAGCAATCTCTAGTCCCCACAACGTGCACAGATACACTGTCATACACTGCTCGCCAATATCTTCACCAACACCTCTTTTTCACAATAGCTATTCTAACAGATATAAAACCACAAATCTCTTAAAGCAGAGAACAAGCTGAACATCCAAAACGGCCAACATGTCCCGTGTGGGCAAGCTGAGAAAGGAAGACAGTGCGTAAATGCTCAGGGGTTTGGGTACCTGATACTCCCATTCCAGGTGTCCTCCCTTCTTACTGAAGGCCATAACCTTCCAGTCGGCAACAGAGACTTTTATCACTGTGTCCACGACGGCAGCTTCCTGATCTTCCACATCGGAGATCACTTCAGACTCTTTGTTCCGACTGGGTTTTAATGTGCTTTCAATAAATCCGGCTCTAGTTTCCATGTCTGGAATATACCGAAGTTCAAAGTGGCCAACACTGAAATTCCACCTTAAATTTACAAATGCATGTTTTAGAAATTTACACTTGAGAAAAGGGGGTTAGATAAAGAACTCTGACACAGCAAACATTAAAATTTGGTGATGAGAAAAAGAATCTTCAGGAAAGAAGCGCTGTTCATTTATGCCACAAAAGGGCGACGCTGGTCCTGACACTTGACAAAAGGGTTCTGAAAGCTGTGAGTTGACGTCAGCTATGGGACAGATTCTTCTCTCAAAAATAAAAGACGTTCACATTTTTTAAATTTCTGTGAAAACGTCCTGAAGGCAATGTGACACTGTACACCACACCTAAGGGTCCCCTGATCTCTACTGACTCAGAGCTGCAAGTCACTCAGCCTTTTCTGGGTTTCAGTGCCCTTGTCCATAAAGTGACATTAATCATGTTTCCTCTATAATTAATTTACAGAAAATCACTTAACTATTATTAACAGTATAATATCCTGTCACTTAGATATAAAATGGCCTTAACATTACAACATCTATTAAAAAATATATACTTAAGGAACATGGATCTTAGACCTAGACTCTTCCGATACTGGTGACTCAAAATTCTAATTAATTTGAACATCTGCTCCTAGGGTGGCTGAGCACCCAGCAAGCATTCAAACTCTTAAAAGCAAAACCCTATGAAGGACATAAAGGCTAGGTTGCAGATACAATGCCCTCCTCACAGCCAGAGAACGCAAAAAAAAATGCACCCTTAACTGAGTTTTAGAAAACAATTTTCAGGAAAGAAAAATGAATTATATTGCATCATATTAAACTAAATTTGAAAGTCTGGTTTGCTTTCCAAGATAAAGATGGAATCTAAAATTATTTTTACTACAAAGGCAGTTTAACCTTTAAATATTAGGTTTTTAAATATCACACATGTATGTGATTTAAGAAGAGCATATATTATCCAAGCATCTTATTTTTAATCACATGTTTAAAGGTAAATTTTACATAAAAAAGTCATTATTTGGAAGAAAGAAAAAAAAAGAAAGAAATTTGACCAAATAAATTATACCTTCGTACATTAAGAAGAAAATAGACTAAAATGTTATTTTAAAATTGGGGTAATCAGAAAAACTATGAAACTACTATATACCAGAGAGAAGTCAGTCAAAAAGGTCCAAGCCGAAATAAAGCACATTAACTTTCTCTTAGAGCTTTTTGCACTGAAAAATGTTGATTAGTAAGATTGCTGTAACAGATGTCATCAACCTAAGACTGAACTGATAAGCAGTCACGTGTGAGACTCCTCCTAGTCCGCACATCCTGAAGCATATGGTGGGAAGTCCAGGGCAGAATGTGTTAATAATCTTGAGGCCATTTTTAATTTAGGGCTTACATTTTTCTTGAAAGAACAGAATGCTTCTAGAGAACCAAGAGAGGTCAGAAAATCTGCAAAGAAAGCCCGATGGGTTTGGTCTTGGCGGGTCTAAGTGCTACCAGCAGCAACCTGCTCTGAATACACACTTCTCACTGCCACTGCGAGGCCCGACGGCGCGGACCGTCTTCTGGGTGCGCTGCAGAAGCAGGACGTCCTCCTGTTCCACGTCGTCGTCATCCCATTGGCGACAACCCAGAGCTGAACAGATGTACCTCACCTGAAAGGACATATAAAGTTAGTTAAAAAAAAATTTACAAGTTACAGGAGAACAAAGCCATTAAATAAAAGAATCTCTAATTTATTTGTAAAAAATGAAAAATGTGTAAGAAGTACTCAATTATTCAGAAGTATCAGCTGGATTCCCAACTCCTATGATGAGGTATTTAGAACCATAGAAGTAGCTGTGAATATGCCAGGGAATGATTTTAAGGTTTCAGATAATTAGTCTTGAGCACGTCAACCAGTTTTGATATCTTAACAATATCCTTGATAAAATTTCAGGTGAATTTTAAAAAGTCAAAACCTCCTAGTTTCCATAGAGCACTGGTTGGTTTTGTTTTTGTTTTTTTTATCCTCACCTGAGGATATTTTTCCATTTTTTGTACAGATCGAATGGGAGAGAGAGGAAGGGAGAGAGAGAGAGAAACATCGACGTGAAGGGACACATCGAGTGGCTGCCACCCGCACGACCAACCAGGGCCGGGGACATACTGCAACTGAAGTACGTGCCCTTAGCGGGAACCGAACCCGGGTCTCTCCAGACCGCAGGCCGACGCTCTAACCACTGAGCCAAACTGGCCAGGGCGAGCACTGGTTGGTTTTTAAAGATGTGAACCTCTTCTGACAGCCACAGCATGTCAAAGTACCTCCTTCCAATCCTCACTAAAAGGAAAAGGCAGCCTCTCGGCGGGACCCGAACGGAAACCCCGGGAAGCAGCACACCTGCTGGAAGGCTGAGCTGCAGACGCGCCTCCAGCCGGAGCCCAGGACGCACTCGGCCCCGCGACAGACACAAGGCCGAAGGGCGAGGACGCGAGGCCTCCTCAACAATGCAGAATCGGGGTGCAGAAGCAGGAAAGCATCTGCGTGTGCAAGTGCTACAGACCTAACATTTAATAGGCAATTGCTCAAGTGTGAGAAACTCAAGGGTCGAAAGATCATTTTTCTATGCTTCTTATTTTCATTTTAAGTCTATATATAAAATATTCACACATCAAGGTGTTAAGGGGTTAAAAATATTTTTGTTTCTAAAAAGATGTTTTTAATTGGTTATTCCTAATAATGAATTGTTATTGAAGATCCAATCTTAGAAGCAGATTATGATCACATCCTAAGAGCTAACAACGGACAAAGACTAGGTCTTAGCAGCATGACTTTGTCGCCAGACAGGTCAAGTCAAATCTGACCTTGGAAGTTTCTGAACCTTTTAAAGTCTCAGCTTCCTCATCTTTAATACCAGTACACACTTTCTTCTTGGATCCTCTTATTCTAGGATCAAACTAGATAAAGAAATGAGTGGTGTGATTATTCTTATTAGGATTGTTACTAATCTTTGGAGGGTCCCTCATCTGTCCAAATGGAAACAGAAATACGTAACCCTTAAGAATACTGTGAGGATTTCAAAATAATGTGCAATAAATGCACCTAACAGAGTAGAGCAGGTTGTCTTCCACCTGCTACCTGGGCTCTGCTGTTCACTCTGTTGTCTTGGATAAATTTAGTTTACATTAGTAATTTTTTCCTCTTTCTACTTTCTAGTTCTTTTACTAAACCAAATTAAGTCCTCAAGGGAAATTTTAATAAACCTCAACCAGTAATAGTATTGTCTAAGAAATTACTTCTTCTATCCTTATTTATTCTGATTTCTCCCCAAATAAACTCAGCACTTGCACTCACCTTTCCACTGTACGCACTGAGTCCATACGAGGTGAGAGACTTTCCTCCAACCAGAACAACGTCGTCTCCAAACTTGTAGGAAGATTCCAGAAGCGACTCAACTGTAAAAGGAACTGTCTCCATGCTCTCGCGGTCCCGGTCCCACTGGAAGAGGTCTCCATCCAGGGAAGGAATGATCATCTTATTCCCAAAAACCTAAAAGAAAAGCTACCTTTGAACAGGACCTTCGCTGAGAGAACTGACTGTAAGAGCTGGAGCCTGGAGCCCGAGGGACTCTGGCCTCCTCCTCAGCAGCCCCGCTCGTCATCCGCAAGCCACCTGAGAGAACCGCCCGCCTCTCCAGGACCCCCAGGAGGTTGTCTAGCTGCCTTTTCTCCAACTCAGTTTGCCCGCAGTGTCTCAATGATACATGAGTTACCACAAGAAGTTTTGTGATCGAGTGAGATCGAGAAGAGGTTCCTACAGGGGTTCTTGTAGTGAGCAACAGGCTAACATACAAAACAGTTTTCCAGCGAGGGGACCTGGGCAGTACTTTCTAGGCCCATTGTTGCCATAGGCCCAGATCCAAGAACACAGTTGAGTTACACAGTACCCCACCCTTTCTTCTACTTACTCTCTCCGGTCTGCTGTGTGCTAGAAGCCTGATTTTATGCTCTCAGTTGTTCTTCCTTCTTATCAATGTTTACTGAGGGCCTACTATGTCCAGGTACTATTCTTTGCTTAGGATAGACCAATGAGCAAAACAAACAACAATAAAAACAATCTCTGTCTTCTGGAGCTCAAACTCTGGTGTCAGTAGACAAACAAGGTAAGGGACAATTGTAGGGTAAGTCAGGTGATAAGTACCAAAGGCCAATAGAACAAGATAAAGGGGGAGGACAATGCGCATGTAGGAGGGGAGAGACCGGCAGTGAGGAGTTCAGGGCAGACCCCGCTGAGAATGTAATATCTGAGCAAAGTCTAAACATGAGCATTAACCATGCTTCTTTCTGGGGCACACCCTTTTGCCAAGGCGGAAGGTGTAACTGTGCCCACCACAAGGAAAGCGAAGGCTACAGAGGCAAGGGTGAGGCAGGGAGAGGAGGGAGAAGGCACGAGATGACGATGATGGCTGACAGCAGAAGGCGCTGAAGGTCAAATCTGGGACCCAGTGGAAGGGAAGGCCAGTGGATTTCATTGTGGATTCCGTATGGGATGAGCAAAAGAAGAGTCCAGCATGGTGTAAAGGTTTGGCCAAGAACATCTTGTTTCTTGAGAAAGACTGTTAGTGCATGTTTTGATGACATTGATCCCTTGGCATTTATTTTTTATTTTATTTTTTAAATACATGGGAAATAGTATATATACTTTTTAAATATATTTTTATTGATTTTTTGAGAGACAGAGAAACATCGATGTGAGAGAGAAACATCGATCGGCTGCCTCCTGCACACTCCCTATTGGGGATCGAGCCTGCAACCCGGGCATGTGCCCTGACCGGGAATCGAACAGGGACCTCTCAGTCCCTGGGACGTCACTCATGCACTGAGCCACACTGGCTGGGCAATCCCTTGGCATTTCAAATACATATACAATTTGATTTACTTTAGCTAATGACAAAACTATTTTCTTGATTATCCAGGCTCAGAAATTTGGAAAAGGGGAATAGGAAAGAATAAAGAGTTTAAAAAACAAAAAACAAGACTCCAAACAAATGTTGGTCTTAACTTTTGTTAGAATGTTTCACTCTGCACGCCTTCCTCCTGTTCTGGAGGGCAGGCTGGGAGGCACTACCCCAACACACTTCTTCCTCTCCCTCCCAGCTCCAGGCTTGGGGGCTTCTGCGTGAACTATCACAACAGCCTCTACACCTCTTCCCCGGAAATGCCCTCCTTCTAACCTCTCATTACTCAGAGATTCATGTCTGCAGTCAGAGTTAAGCTTGTTATGACACTATTCAAAGAACCTTCAAAGCTCTCTACTGTCTTCTTTTTAAAGACCCCAAATCCTAAGTCTGACATTCAAAAGTGCTCTAAACATGACCTCAAACAACCTTTTCCTCCTTGTCCTTCACCTTCCGCCACATGGGCAGCAAGCAGGCCCATTGCTCAAGCATGATTTTACTGCTGCGTTCATTGTTCAGCTGTTGACAGACTGTCAAGGCCATTTCTTCTCCCCGGTACACCCTCCTATACCAACACCGCCCAGTCTGTCTGGACAGCAAGCTAGCACCACTTACGTTTGCTTTGAAGCCCAAGACAATGTTGGCAGGGCAAATTTGAGGACAAAAGCCTACCCACTCCTCAGTACTGTATTAACTTGTTGCTGTAACTATAAACTGATATTCACATCTTCAAAAACTGCTTGTTGTACCTGTGAGAAATATTGCCCAGTAAGCTAGTGCTGTCACAGTCGTTTACAAAGCAGCCGTAAAAGAAATGCACTCAAATCTAGAGTCCAGATTGTGTTATCCACGTCATTCCCCAAAAGAACTGAGGCTTCTGGAAAATGGCTGATCCCAGGGCTGGGGCAGTATGGGCACAACATCGCCTTTAACGTTTGAGAAAGGATGAACGTAAATTTTTTTTTCAATTTAAAAAAGATGGGCGCATGCCACTGACCACATCTGAAAGAGTTTAAGTACAAAAATAATTAAGTACTGAATTATAAAGCATTAGAAAAACAGGAATTCATGAGTCGATACTGACAACAAACAGATAAAATAAATAATATGGGGGTAGAGGGAGGGCTCCTCTTGCTATAGAATGCTGAGTTTCTCCCGGTGACTATGGAGGGAGGGCTGCAATTGGGAAAACGGGTGTTTAGCAACCACCACAGAAAAGACTGAATCTGGCAAAAATCAGCAATGGTGTTAAATCTAGGCAGAAATTTTGATGAGAAGCAGGATGTTTGCATGGCCTCATAGTATTCCGCCCCCCCCCCCGACTGCTTATTAGTTACAAGATATTGTAAAATAAATTAAAAAGTAAATAAATAAAAGCAGCAATTACATAGGGAAGAGTTCAGACACCTTGAGTGGTGACCAAAATGAGGATCACCCCTGCATGCCAGATGTGGTGCCCTGGGGAGGACATGACCTGTGCACCTTGCCAAGACTGCACGGTCGCGTCTAATACAGGACACCAGACATACACAAAAGGACAGAGACACTGTATTCTTCAAAAACATCAAGGTCATACAAGACAAAGTCTGTGGAAAATCCAGATAAAAAGAGGCTAAGGTGACAAGAGGCTGAGCGGGGACAGAGGATGCTACAGAAGACATTCCACCTACTGATTAAATTGGAATATGAATAGTAGATTAAAGTGTCAATATACATTTACAAGGTTGACAACTGTGGTGTGCTTATGTAAGAGAGTATCTCCATCAGGAAGTATTTAGTAGTGAAGGGCCATGATGGATATTTAATTTATTTTCAAATGTTTCAAGGAAAATGTGTATATAAGGGATTAGGGCAGGGGAAAGAGAGAGAGGGGCACTCAAATGATACAGCCAAGGAGGCGTGGGTAGGTAAATCTGGGTATATAAGGGTTGGGGGGGGGGTACCACTGTTATTTGGGCAATTTTTTGTAGTTTGAAATTATTTCTAAATAAGAGGTTAAAAAGAAAGATACTCGAGAGCCTTGCAGGAGCTCTGTAATTAAAGCCAGAAGGCTATAGCATTAAGTCAAAATTCACCATCATGCTGGGTTTTTAAAGATCTCCAATTATTAGTTATTTATATTTATATTGGTCAAAGTAACATACCCTATGATACAATATGATCTCCCATTTTGAGTTACATATGTTACAAAATCAAGTATCTATTGTTCTCTACCTTCCATATTATGTGAGGTATTCTATGGAGTATTTACCAGAACAGTAAATTCGAATTACGGTGAAGTCAGAGGGACAGGCCGTCCAGCGGTCCAGCCGTCCACGTGGTGCTACTTGAGCACCAACAGGAGAGCGGGCGTGTCACTGGGAGGAGATGGACGGTCTGCAGCACAGAGAGAACGTGACTCGGACTCCTTTCCTCTTGCATGAACCACCTCTTTCCCCCTAAACAGAGCAGGTCCTCTGGGAACACAATGGCTCCTAATTCCACAAACATACCCCAAAAGTTAATAATATGGACTAAAATCCATCATTGATTTAAGGAAGATCTATACTCCTCCTAGTGTAGTAGAAAATAAACTATCTACAGTAAAAACTATGGTTTAAACTGTCTAGATTTTATATGATGGACCATATTGTGAAAAACTGGCTTATTTCAAAAGTTAGATCTTCAACAGCGTTTTAACTCAATGAGAAAAGTAGAAAACCCAAGCCAACAGCAGAGAAGCATTATGATTCAGTGCTGAATCATGCTATTTCTGGGCTGTGACTGTAAAAGTTCAGCCTTAAACCGCCGCCTGTGAGTCATCCCGCGGCTGCGGACCTCTCTCCTGAGCTCCGGAAGCCTTGCAGGCTGCACGTGAGAGCAGGGACCCTTTCCGTCAGCCACAAGCAGCAGGATAGCATTCCGTTCAGGTAGAGGTGACGTCAGCCCTCACACAGCATTACCTCACCCGCCCAGCACAGGAATGAGTCACCCGGAGGGTAGGGGCGGATCTCGGCCGGACACAGTGTAGGCTCCCGCGACGCATTTTCACGCCCCTGATCACCCTGTGAGCGGCTATTTGCTCCGCTGCGCTGCTCCGCGTCTCAAACGGATTATGCAACTTGCTTCCCCCTTTAGTCATTTTTAAAAACATAAATCCTTGTTTCTTGTGTGTTTTCCCCTCTCGATTTGGTTTTTCTGCTCATAACTTTAAAGTAAGAGGTTTGTCACATTGGCCAGCAAACTAGGACCAAAGACCCAACAAGGTCCTCATCCATGCAGTCACAGAGCAGTCCGGAAAAGAAAGGGAATCGCTATTTCTGAACAAAATCTGAATGGCATAATGAACATTGGTGGCACACGTAATCAGGGCTGCTATTTGAAATCAGAATGGGGAAACAAGAGCTCTGATTTTCAAGCAGCAGAAGGCAGTCAACTGAGAAATGCAGACAGCACCAGCACTAAAGCCAATGTAACCACAATGAAGACAGATTCCTCTAACCACATCAACAAGTATGTTTTCATTCGGTTCTTACACCTTTTCCATTACCTCCTCCCACCCACATGCCATCCACACATACACTTCTCAGGGTATATGCAATTTTTAGTTAAC